GCGAAAACATTATTTACACCCAAACACAAATAACAGTAAAAGTACAGTTAATCATCCGCTTCCCTCCTGCTCCTCTTTGACCCGCCACCCCTGCTGCCGCCTCGGCCGCCTCGGCCGCCCCCAACCTCACTGTGCCTTCTCTTTTTGCCCTCCTTTGCCCAATATTCATCCTTTTCTTTTTTCTCTCGTGCGGCTTTCATCTCTAAGTTTTCAGCCACCTTTTTTCGGTAAATATCCCTTTTGGCCTCTTTTGCCTCCTTGCGCTTCGCTTCCTTTTCATTCTTCATGGTAGAAATCTTCTGCATTAAATCCCTGGCGCGTTTCTCTTCACCGCCTAACACAACTGCACGCTTACTTGCATATGTCTCTTTCTTCCGCGGCTTCATCTGAGCAATCTGGGAGGCAAATGGAAGATCTTTCTGAACTCCTCTCGGTACACGGAGAGGGTTGAAGTGCCTCTTCGGGCGCTCGATTTTTCTGTATGCAGAATTTGGAAGGTTTGGTGTTGCGATTGCCATATCTCTCCTGACCTCTCCAGTCAATCTCATACCCTGCCATAACTTTGCTTCTTCGCCTTTCCCTTCTAGTAATAGATTCGTGACAGGATTATAGAATTTCCTAGGTTTGACGGGATACCAGGCTCTCAAGAAGACAATATCACTCATGAGGATTTTGTCCTCGAAAGTGGCTCTGAAATGCCCATCTGGTTTTGCGAGTGCTCTCTTAATTTGGCCACGAATTCCGGAGACTGTCCTGATTGCGGCACCTTCAAATTTGGCAACCTCCAGGGAGGAAGTAAACATGTCTTTGATGAAAGACGTGTTTTTCCATATTTTATATGGGATACCTGTAAGCTTGAGCTTTTTGACGATTTCGGTGGACTGGTCTACGTTTAGAACGACACCAGTAGCTGAGACGCGGAAACCGGGAGTTTTCGACGAAAGACTTTGGACCGCGCAGAAACCAGTGTTCGGTGCGATAAGAGGGCCGTAAAAAGTACCAAAACAGTGCATGTGTTCTGGAGTGTACTTCAACATTCGATTCCTTGTTCTTGAATCTGAAGTAGAATAGACCGGTATACTCTGGAAACGACGCCAACCCAACGAGAAAATCAGGGGATCGTTCGTTTTCAAAATTTTCTTATGCCATCTATGTCTTTTGATCCGAACTTGCAAGAACCCGAACCGATCCTCAGTGGGCGTCAGTCCACCGACGAGAATTGGGTATATAGGGTCGAAGTTCGTCACAAACTCGTGCGGGACATTGCTGAGAACCACTCTGGCGTAAGTACCTGCTCGGAAACCCTCTACTCGCACTCGGGTGCCATCGTCCAGTTGTTCAAATTCGGCTTTATTAACGGCTAATTGTTTGGCAATCTTGGCTTTTTGTGCGTCGTACCAATCGTCCTCACCAAATTCCTCCTCATCGTCGTCTCGTGTGCCGGTCTTGTCGTTATTGATTCCCTCACGATCCTCTTCTTCGAACCGTAGCTTGAGTTCCTCTTTCTTGCGCGCATTCTTTTCACGCTCCTCTTCTAGAGAAAGTTCTTCATTATCCCCTTCACTTCCCTCTCCCTCTGAGTTGTCCTCATCATCTCCTTCATCGTCATCTTCGTCATCTTCGTCATCTCCTTCATGATCCCCTCCATGTTTCTCGCCAGTTTCCAAATCCTCAAAGACACCATCTCCTTCGTCATCATCATCATCCGCAATGCCCTCGAACTCACCCCCATCAGCTCCTTCTTTTTCATCCAATAGATTTGCAGTAATAAATCTGCTCCTGAGATCTTCTAGAGCTGTTTCCTCGCTCCAGTATTTCTCCAATTTCTCAAAGTCATACACCGGCATGCTCCTGTCCAGGATTTTCTTGGTCTTTTTACCTTTCTGAGTATTAACCTCATCGTCGTCATCCTCATTTTCGACCTTTTTGAAGAAATCCTCTTCGTCATCACTTCCTCGTGATTCAGCGGAATGTTCGCCCGCTTCTACAACATCGCCTCGCCATTTCTGAATAACTTGATCAGGCGTAAGACTCTCATCGTAGAGTAGCCTGCTCAGGCTTGTCGTCCGGCCATTAGGGTTGTTTGACCACATTTTCTTTGCGTTATCAGCGAGATTTGATTTCCACTGTGGTACGTCCTCATCATCGCTTTCTGCCACCTCTGCATCTGATGGCAATTCGCCATCATCGAGAGACCTCTCAGAGACGTCAGACAGTGATCCTAGGTCGGAATCACTATCAGCAAATGCGACGTCATCAGTACCGCTCCCAAACTTAGTAACATCGTCTTGGAGGGCTCTTCCGGGCTTTAATGATACTGCTGTAGCCCGGTCATCGTCGCTTGCGTCTTCGTCTCCGGAGAATTCTTCATTCTCTTCCTCCTCATCGTCGTCTTCCAATTCCATTGTATCGTTTTCGTTAGGTTTCTTGTCCAAAGCTCTTCCCTTCCTTACATGCTTTCTCCCAACGTTGCCAACGTCTTCGTCGTCATCTTGGACCTTTTTTATCATTTCCCCGTTAGAGAACAGCCTCACACCTTCTGCCTCTCCCTTTTTCCCTTTTTGCAGCCCTACGACCAATCTCTCACCCACACCTTGGCCTTCTGCACCCTCCTCAAAGTTCTGAGACGGAACATTGATGTAAACAGCATCCTTATCAACCAAAACACCACCAACATCACTCATCGGAGCGTATATTAGCTTTTGTTTTTCGCCTAATCGCCTCCTGCTCTTGCCTTCGGCTTGTGCTCTAGCTGGAGTAGGACATGGGTCCGGGAGTGCCTCAACACTAGCGATCGACAAATCACCCACACCGGGGATGTGCACTCTTCCACCATCTGCTGGAATATTGAGGCCTCTGACATAACCATACAAAGCGACAGTCCTATCTGTCTTATGGCTCTCTTCTATAGCAACCGGATCTGTCAAGTCGACCATACGATCCGCCAAGAGGTAATAATGTGAGTTTCTCCAGACCAGAGGTCTAGGGTTTTTCATGACCGAGATGAATCTACTTAGATTGTGAATTTCACGATCAGGATATCTTCCATTGATGACCCCAGATAGGTAGAATAATTTTGCTCCCTGGTAGAGCTCCGACCAAAAACGATGCTTCAATCTCTTTTTTGTGGTCCGGAGAACAGATTGGGATTTGAAGAGATCCAAATGAGTAAGAATCCCAAAGATATTGGAGGGCAGACCATGAGTGGCCATGATATTGAGGAATTCCATGGTCTCCATTTCAAATCCGAAATTCCCGTCAATCAAAAGTAGTACAATATCGGCGATCTTGGAGATATCAATCATGGAAGTCAGGGAATTGTCACATTCTAAGAATGTCAGGCGGCGCTTCTTGCTTGATACAACTGTTATTGGCCCTTGGATTGCTGTCAACGAATGTTTGGTGTAGCGTTTTACGAGGGATTTAATTAAAGTGGTTTTCCCGGTCTAGAATATTGTCAACTAAAAGTTTAAGGATCAGAGAAGACTCAATTACTTACCCCCGGGGGACCGACGACAGCGACTATTAATGGTGGTGCTTCCTCGGGGAGGCGATCCACCTAAAAATGTCAGTACTATTAGAGGTGAAAGATACGAAGCATTCTTACCATAGGCACGTGAAGACGCTTCTCTTTGACCTAAATTTTAACAATATATCAGCACAGCTCCTCAATCATAATCGCCGCGCCATAATTTGAAGAGCGCACATCATGGGATCTTGTCGCTTGTTTTTGAAGCTTCCCGGGATTCGCAAATGCAAAAGCTTTCGGATTTTGCCCTTTCTCCCCTGTGTTTTGGAATTAGCAAAAAAAAAACGTACGGAGGTCTCATCCGGAATGCACTTACCAGTAAACTTTTTCTTCTCTTTCGGCTTCCGGTGGGTTTTGTTTGACTGATCCATTGCGCCTTCAAGTGTTGGAGTTCCAGTGGAGGGAGAGGTTGCGGCTCAGTTGCGAAAAGACCTCAAAACTTTTTTTTGACGGTAAAAAAAAAGCCCTAACCCATGGTCGACACTAGGCCAGATTGGGCCTAATACTAGATATCCTCAACATGACCATGTGAAGCATGTGGACGTCATAGAGTTGCAACCTAATATGTTGGACGGCGGAATAAAAGGGATGCCTACTTGCGGTGAAATTAAGTATTGTCCCAATTACGCTGGCAACCATTCAGCCCCACCAAACTTGAGACCCTATAGCTATAAAACCACAACCAATAGCTAAAACTAAGTGTATTAAAGTCATAGTTATTTTTATGCTCAAAAGTAATTATCTCCTGCTTTAATTATCATGGTGAGGTCGATGGTTACTATCGCGAGAGACAATACTTAATTTCACCGCAAGTAGAAGAAATCCATAATAGCAAAATATCTATCTTGCAGTAGAGAGGTTTCGCAACCAGACTTTGAATTAAATATGGGATGGGATGTGATTGGAGAATGAAGGCCTAAGTGGGGCAGAGTTACTGGAAATCTTCCTGATTGAGATCAAAACACTCCCAAAGCCCGTTAATCGAAACCCAGAGCTCGTTGCTTTGAGCTATGGAAAGAAAAAGGACAAGTGAGAGTTCGATTAACGGCTTTGTGGAGTCAAAGGTGTCCTCCTTTGGGGAACAATCTTTGGGAATCCGCCGTGTCAACCAATCATGAGTCCGGTCGCGAGCCGAATTTAATATTTTCTTGCGAAACCTCTCTAGTAGGAGAAATTATATGAAAAGGACCTGGCACACCAAGTTCTAGCATACACGTACTACGCAAGTAAAGTAGGTGTAGTCACTTTACATGGAATAAGATTCAAACAACTACATGGTAAATTACATCTTGTTGGCAGTGCTTTGATTCTGAGCCGGTTGAATCGGTCCCGCATATTAACAGGTCATCAAAATTCTAGGTTTAAAGAAATACCGTTATTGCAATCATTGACACTATTAAGTACATCGCTAACCACAGAACACTATAATAAATTACGACTATCTGTACACCGATCCTTAAAATCCCGCCCGTTATGATAATTCGGCTGAGAGCTATTATACCGACTGTTAGTGATAAATGAACGTCCAAAAACAAGAGAAATACTTACAGTTTTTTCGATCCCGGCTGATGTATAGTCATCTCTTTTCATGAGATACGGCTTAAGCAAGTGTGGTTTCACCCGGGAAAGAACGCCGTCTCTCATGCGTTCTTTTATGGCATCGGGTCTATCGAAAATGTCAGTCTCTCTTCTAGCCCCAATATAATAGTCGAGTGGGCACATACCTCACAACGAAAAGGTTTCCAATCTCATGGAGCAATTCAAAGCTTTCTTTGAGTGCCGCAACACCCCATTTACCAACAATGTCATGGTACTTGGTAATATCCCTTTCGTATAATTAGTAATTTCTGCACGGATTTAGGGCAAATCGTCTTACTTCGACAGCATAATACCACCTGCTTGGTTGACCTGATACTTCTTCAGGTGGTCTAGCAGAAGCATTCTGAAACCAGAACCGATCTCATTCAAGAATCCGTCTAAATTTGCACCATCAAGGGACTCTTTGGCAATTTCGTACACCTTCTGGAGGAAAGCGCAAACCGTTTGACAAGCCTTATATCTGGGTGAGCTAAACCCCCACTAAAGAGACATTTTTCATATTTACTTACTGGCGTTTGAAGAGTTGTCAAACTGACTTCATCGTCCTTCGGCTTGAAATCCGATTTCTTCTGTTTGCTAAGCAATACTGTGACGTAGCTTATTACCACTTCACATCATTAGCAATTGCTTAAGAGTCCTTGAATATTGGTAACATACTATCAACAGTCCTTTGAATAATATTATTCACTTTCTGTTCCAGATTTGCCAGTGTAGTGTTTGTTAACTTGCTCATTTCTCTTCTAACGGTAAGAGAGGTCTGGGCCAGTGGAATCAAGGCCGTATTGATGAAAGAAAACATTAAATGCATAATTGTGGTAGCGGGCTTTATCTCCAAAAAGTAATTTAGATCTGGTTCTCCTTTGGTCTGACCTTCGGCAGTTTCCAAAGCACTTATAAAAGTTTTTCTGTCAGCTGAGATCAAAATTCCACTTAGGAATTAGTGTGTACTTACGCATCAAGGGCGGTGTCCAAGTACATAGTTCGCATGTTGTCGATTAAGAGATTCAATAGCACGGTGACGTCCTTCGGCCTATGAACGGAATGAGTATCTGGCAATCCACAAAAAATTGAAACATCAAACCATACGTATCAGCCGGAGTGCTCAGCTCAAGACTTCTCCCAACGGCCTCGGCCAGCCATTTTAGCATTCTTTTCGCCGACTCTACGTTTAGTTTACCATCCGTTTCTGATATGACGACTTCCGACAATTGGCCGGTTTTCCCGGATTTACGGTCGAGACCGATAATTCGGCTAAGTGCATCACTTTGGGATTTTCCAAGATCACTATCTAGAACTTTCTCAATTGCCCTTTCTCGTGATTTTTTCAATCGGTCGAGAACTCCGAGATTTTGTTCCTTTTTCCGTTGTTCCTGGGTACGCAGTTTGATGAGCTTCCAAATCGAATCAAGCCTCTCTCCACGGATGTCTGGCAGGGAACGAACATGAAACATGCCAAATTTCAATAAGATCCCGGAATAGAGTTGCTCCAGAGATTCCTTTTCTTTCTCCATATATCCTCGGTCCTGGAGGAACGGTACAAATAGCTCTTCGACATTCTGGTCAATTAGCACAGTTGTAGTAGACGATAAGGGCCCGGGATGCTCTGTTAAGCCGTGTGCTTTGAGATCATCTGCTAAAGTATTGACGCATGCCCTAGATGCTTGTAATGTACGGAGGAATGCTAATGGCGACAAAGTAGATGTCTTATCTAGAACCATCTCAAGTCTCTGCTGTAGCGACTGTTGGAATACACGCTGCAGGAATGTACCAAGTACTTGCTCTGGGAAGGGGAAAACATCCTTTATAGTAATGGACTCCGCTTTCATTACGTCTCGTATCTCATTTACCAAGGCCATCAGACTTGGCTCAAGTCCTGGTGAACCTTCATCAGGGTCGGATAGCTTTTCCTCCCTACAACATTGTCAACAACTTATAGCCCAAGGATCCATAGCGGCACCGTTTTTAGCAAGATAGAAAGCAAATTCTCACACTGTGGTTTCAATAACAACTTCCCCAGCATTTATCTTTCCAGTTGCGATAAAAAAGTCCATTTGATTAAGGAAATTGCTAATGACAGAATTACCGCCATTGAAATCATGGAGCACTTTTGCACATCCCTGATAACATTGTCAGTTTCTAACCCCTCCAAAAGCCTTAACCTGGAGAAAGATTCGACCTTCATAGATTCGATATTGAACTTCCTATAAGCATCGTCAAATTGTCTTAAGAGGTCTTGTTCCAATGTCTCTGAAAATGCCTCTATCAGCTCTTTTGTCCGAGGATTAGTTCCAGGACCTTCAGTCCTTTTGACAATCAAGCTCAATTGCCTGCCAACAACAGCACATCTGATGCTATCCTCAATCCTGCCTGTCCTCCTTAAGCTCTCCAATCTTCCCATATCTCCTCTACTAAATTCAGTATAGCATTGTATCAAGAATTTGGCGTCTTCCGCTCTCTGGCGTTGTTTATCAAGCGCTTCCAGCTGCCCTCCAATTCTTACTGCCATACCCCCACCATCGGATATACTGCTGTCCAGACGTTGAAACTCGGCTAAGGTGGAGTTAAATTTGAGGCCTAAACGCTCCAGAGTACGACTATGGTCAATTTCTGCCCGACGTACTCCCTCCTTCAGTTCTGATTCCTTTTCTGAAAGTGTCTCATCTAGGTCTTTGAGACGTTCTAGGGCGGCTTCGAACGTGCGAATATAGGGCTTTGGATCGAAAGCTATGGTAAAGTTAGCTCCTAAACCTGCACCGAATCTTCTGATATACTGTTCACCATTTGATGGGACCCCGGAGCGGCGGTTGATAGCTCTACTGGTTTCTGTAAGGCCCTCTATGAAGTCTTTGACAATGAAGTCTTTGCTCTGGCTAGGCGTCAGTAGATCTCTCCCTGGACCAGGAACGTTCTAACTAGACTGACCGAGAATGTTGACAACGAGAATGCCGCAGGCTTCGGGTAGATTGATCGCGATCCTTCAGTACTGTTCATCATTTTGTCGGTCTTAAAGATCGGTAGTGCTCGAGTGCTGTGGTTGCTTATCGTCAAAACGCGGCTTCAAGGGTGCACCACCTAGCTACATGTAGTCAGGTGACCAATTAAGGGCATCACAAAACATGCCAAGATTATCACAGCTTCTATCGTTAGATACCCCAGGCTTTGAAAACCTAGATGTGTACTTTTTACGTGTAAACAGAATTCACTAAAGATCACCCTTTCCGCAAGACGTTTAAACCAAACCAGGCATGAAACACTGCACACGGCGCGTTGCGGGCACAACCCCTGGTCATAGCTAGAGGCAGAGCTGTTTTTTGTTTATCGAGCTATCAACATTACCCAATTCAATCAACATTATCACGATCGTTTAAGTTCCTATTCCAAGACTAGAAAGAATGACCTTCTGATCAAACGCAAGTTTCAATACTCCCCTATAAACCGCTTCCTTACTAGCCTTTTAACGCCCTATCCCCATTTGTGGGGGCGACATGCTTCAACGGGCAGTACCAACCGACATCTACTACACCCTAACTTCTTAGCAAGCTGAAGCATATTTTGGTTTTTCCTAATACAATATATCGATCCAGAAAAGTTTCTAGACTCCGTCCTCAAAAGGGCCCACTCATGCCGGCTTTTCACAAATGATAGTTCACTCCGGATCTTGTTCTCCCAGTCAGCACAAAAACAAGAACAACAAAGGGGGGTTTCTACCCATTTGGACCACCTGAAGTCTCAGATCTAAAAGCTCTTGATTACATAGTTACTTGTACTAAAACCTTGTGCCCGGTGAGCTCACAGTTACATGTACCTTATTGCAATTGAACTGAATATATGTACGTGCTTGTGCGGTGATCGAGAATTGGGATATCGCATGGAGTGAAGGGTCTAGCTTCTACATAGCCCAACCTAAGAGCTTTCTTCGCATGCTTTGATGACTTTGCATGAGAGTAAGATAATGACCGTGTTTCCTTGTCTGTGCACCGATTCATTGCTTCCGTTGAGGCAAAGTGCAGAAATACTTGATACTGATTTGCTAGATTTGCTTCACCAAATACTCAAATGCCACCAAAACTCAAGGAATTTTGTTATGCATGCAGGATCAACATTACTACTAACGGAAACCTCTGAGACTGATCAATATCCTTTAGCCAATTGTCAAAGAGATAATCCTGGTCAGAGATAGCCCATTTATCGAGTTTTTGTGGTACACCTTTTTAGATCCAATTATTCAAGAGGCTCATTTATTCAGAGGTGTTAGCGAACCACAAGAAAATGCTGAGACGGGCGTGAGTAATTAATTGATTTGTTATCAGTGAGAAAGAATTGCGACCACTTCTATTACACGTATACAGTTAAGCCTGATATTGATGTAATCCTCCGGACTTCCCTATAAAATGAAATATCTGCAGATAGTTGATTGATCCAGAGTATACCCAAAAGAAATCTTCCATTAGAATAGCGATATAATATCACTCGTCATTATCCTCCACTGCCAGAAGCGTTAGGTAAATATATAGCAAAACCTGCCGAGTGGACAAAGAAGGGTTGAAACATACCAATGACTTCCATATTTTTAAGGACGCCCTTCATCTTTTTATCTGCCCCACCACTTCCTCCTGCATGTCCCCTATCTTGTTCCCTCTCGTTTCCATTCGTAGCTGATCCTCCATCCTCTCTCTCCTTGCCTTTCCCTTTTCCGCCTCTTTTCCCCTTCAAAGATGGAGCTCGCCCAACTCCCGAATATCCTATCGGCGGAACATTTCGACCCTCGTAGTATGGTCGCCAATTATCCTCCTCGTACATATTCATGAAGGTACCACTTGCATTCTCGTGAAATGTTGGCAGAACCGGAAATTCGGGAACAGGCTCTCGACGAGGTAGCGGGATATAAAGTCGAGGATGGGTGTTCGCCTCCTGCGCGGGTTTCTTTCCCCAGAAAATGCTGAGTGTACAGCCCATCTTGTCTGCAGTATCCAGTACTGTGTTGAGATTTGTGGCCTTGAGAGCTAGCAAGAATCGGTAAGATTGATGAGGAGAGTGTTTTTTGATGGACTATCCATGCTTTGGAGAATACCTATGTTTATGGTAGTTGAAGTTCACGAATTCAAAGGGGGGCTCTTGTGGAATTCTATTGCTCTTTCCTGCAAACATTGACAGGGTCACATCATACGCTATCACTCGTGACTGTGCCACCCGTGCCACAGAAAACACGTGCTACAGGTCATCCGATGTAAATAAGTAGTTACTAACCCGTTGAGGCAGACTGTTGACAACAATATTTCGATGTGTTATTGTTTCTTCTATTATTTCCTCATTATTGGATGCTCCCACTCAAAGCTGAAAGTCAGCAGGCGATAGTAGTGGCTTCTCATAGTGTGCCGGTAGCCCGGAATTTCCAAGCACGCACGTACCATGCCGTGCATGAATAGTATCATAATGATATTAACAAATAGTAGATCATTACAATGACGCATAAGTCGACCTGCAGATCGGAGCTCATTTATCGATCACAATGTAAACAAAGGACTGCAGCTAACAATCAAAACAAGATCACGGAAATTAAATGTGTATTGTTTTCGGTGTATTCGAAAAGGTTCGTTAAATATCGTTACAGACAACAGCAATACTCGACAAATTTGCTTCCGAGTTTCCCCCTCCAGAAAATAAAAACAACCACTCCACCCATGTAAACTGGTTCATCGGCGCTTCAGAGCTATGGAAAGATACCATATATAGCTTAGAAGATAATAATGCACCGTACCGAACGGTATACTAACAAACGCTGAAAGTATAAACAAGAAATGAACTTGCCAATGAAAAACGAGCACCGAGAAAGAAGGGGACTGGTATAAAGGAGATCGTTAAAGGAGGTATGGCGAAGAAAAGAGAAACGAAAGAAAAGAAACTCCGAAGAGACGCCATTGCGAAGGAAAACAGCAAAGGACATCTCTATATAGACAGGTTAACCAAAATACTGGAAAATAAAAAACCACATGTACCAACCAAAGTTAAAGATAGAGCGAGTACGCAGAAACAAAGTAAGAATAAAAAAACAGAGAAGACACCGCCCAAAATCCACATGAGTAAAAACACAAGACGCAGGACTCCCGTTGTAAGATTTTTAAAGAGTTCCCAATGTTAGTGTTTCGTCATCACTATCCTCAGTCGCCCGGTAAGGCAGGGTTCCTTTCGTCCCCAAGGACGGTAATGCAGACATGAAATAGAGAATAATGCTGGTAAGAAAAGGTGTAAGAAGCAAAGAGATGACATAGGAAATAGAAGATTCGTCTAATCGTCGTAAATAGTGCACAATCAGCCGCCTTGGAATGCAGCAAATGACTCAAACCCAGAAAATACTCCAATCACACCAAAAAAGAAAAGGAAAGGGATATAAAACTTAGAAATAGATAAAATAGATAACTTAATAAAGCCACTCTCCACTTTCGGCCCCACCATCGCCCTGGTCGAAGCTTAATCGTGGGAGCTCAACTTTAAGCTCTTCCTGCTGCTGTTGTTGCGCGAGCTCCTTCTTCTTCCTCCGCTCTCTTCTCGCCTCTTTATCATTAACCTCTTTGTGATGATAAACTCGCTCAAACCTTGGCCCGAACCGTACATCGGCTACCTCCCAATCATCAGCAGCGGCAGCGGCAACCCATGTCTTAAGCCCCTCGTGGAGAGCTGTATGAAGTTTTTCCTTGCAAGTCCGTAAACTACCACCAAGTGCTTTTTCCCACCCAGAGTTTCGGAGATCAAGTCGAAGATTATTCCTCTGTTCTCTGGTTTCCAGACTCGCAATACATGCGTTTAAAAGATCCAAATGATTAGCAAGATAGTTTGTTGCCTCCCATTCGACTCCACCCACATATGGGGCAGCTGGAACTGGCGGGCGTTCAGCGGGAAAGTGAAGTGAAATGTAGCTTTCACGTTCACTAGCAGGGTTGTAGGAGGTTGGAAGAGGAATGACATTTGTCCCGTGCAGGAAAATCCAAAAGACTTCTTTAGTAACATTAACGACCTCTTTGCACCATCTCTTGTAAGGTCTTCTTGTATGTGCTGCTTCAATGAATTCGATTGGACGTTTGTCTTCGTTTGGAAGTTTATCCGCAAGGTATTCCAGGATTCGGCGAGCTCGTTCAGGACGTTGACCAACAGTTGCAGTAGAAAGATGGGTGAAAAGCAACTGAATGATGAGGCCACGAGTGGTGAATTCTGATGGGCCCTTTTTCTCCTCATCGAATAACAGCTCAATGAGACGTGGAAAGACTGTTTCCTCCATATCTAATAGCTTTCTGAGAGCTGATGTGGCGGTGCAGAGAGCTTTAAGACAGAGAAGGAGCTCGTGAAGCAACATATCCTCATGCTCCTCCCTAAACAGTATAGTTAATATCTAATCATAGATCATAGGTAAAAAAATGTGATAAATACCTCCATTCAACACCAAGAACTCGTTCAAGGACACCCCAAACCGCCTGCATACCCCCCAACTCAACGAATTTTTCCACCCATTTCAGACGTTCGTTTCTCAGAATCAGTCTGAGCTTATGTAGTTTAGCGACTTCAACGTCCTTCATACCCCTTTCGCCACTCCCAGAAGGGCCCTTTCCGTCAATGTCTTCTGCAAACATCTTGTTGCCCATGTTCTTTGGTATTCCAGCTTCCTCTAGCCACTCCACCCACTCTTCTGGTATGAGAGTTGCTACCATTACTTGAGGTGCAGGACCATTATTCATGGCCGAGGCTGCTGTAACAGGCGGAAAAATCACACCCTTTACTCTCATACTCTTTTCAAGTGGGGGGGCTGCCTCAGCAGTCTTCTTCTTGGCAGGCGAACTTGGTGCCGTTGTTGTACTGGAAGGTTCCTTTTCTCTCGAAGTGCCAACAAATGTGCGACTTCTTGGACGGGCTTTCTTAACAGGACTTGGGGGTGCTGGTGGACTCACATCCAATCCTTTGGATGATTTTGGCCTAGCCTCGGTCTTCATGTTATGTGAAGTTTGAGGTCTCTTCCCAAAGATACCCATGCCCGCAAAAGATGCGGTGTTCTTTTCCGCAGATTTCTCCATCTGAGCCTCCTTACGGATGAATTCCTGTTTAACCCTAATATCAAGACTGCGCATGCGATCGCGCATGTTCGTTGGGACGCCGCGGGAGTCCTGTTACAGCTAATATTAGCAGGCATGATTTTACCGAGTGATAGAACATGAAGTGTGGATAACAAACAAGTAATGCTTCAAACGCAATATCAATGCCGGCCAAATCTAACCCAGCACCAGTTTTCTCACTCTTCAGGCTACCTTGACTGCTAGTTGATGAATTCTTGCTGCTGCTACTGCCGCTGCCGTCCTTGGATGCATCAGATCGCTTCTTTTCCCAGCCTTCTCGTAGCTCGAGACTGGTCCTTCTTGGAGAATCTGCACTATGCCCAGTTGAAGCTTCTAATGAGGGTAGATAGGCGCTCTTTGGTCTTTGCTTGGCAATGCTGTTTGTCGTGTTTTTAGGAACAAGTGTAGGCTGTTCGTTTGGTTTATAAAAATTCCGCTGGGATGCAGGAGTGTATTCACTCGGGGTGTATTTCTTAACAAGCTCTTCTGTGTTGCCTCGAAGGTGTTCAGTACTAGCCCGACGTTCAGTACTGGTGCGCTTGTCGGCAATGTCCCGTTTCTTAGGGCTCAGTGAGGACGAGGATCCTGTGGAGGAGCCAGACGAGCGCGGTGCAGGGGGTAGTGGTAAGGCAGGTAGAAGATTACGAGAAGTTCTTGAAGACTGCTGAACCGTTCGCGGATTAGTTGTAGGAACATTTCCAGATCTGGAACCTTGCGCATGCGGGTGATTTTGCGGCAATGTGAAAAGAGGTAGCCCAGGGGTATTGCTAGGTCCGTTACCAACAGAGTTAGGCTCTGTGACAAACCCGGAGCCTGCAGAAGAACTAGGAGTTAGTTCCGGAGTTGGTCTTTGGTTCTCTTTATCTTTGAACATGGTTTTGAGATCATGCAAAGATTTCTTGTTTTTATGGCCCTTCAGAATAGAGAAATCGATCGTGCTTCTAGACTTATTCGGCTTTTTTTCGGGTTTCACAGAATTATGATCGCCATGAAGGAGGTCCAATACTGTTCCTCTGAGATCTAAGCTTTCTCTTATAGACCTGGTGGGGGAACCCGAAGCCGCAGCATCCTTCTTCGACGTGAAAGACGAGATAGACAGCGAAGAAAGAGACCGTTTGTGACGAGCGTGCTGAGCAAAGGGGGCTTGGGGCGGTTCCAAAGGTGGCAAAAAGGTTGAGGTATCGAGAGGCGGTAACTGTGGAGGGGGTACACGAGAGCTGCCGACCATATAGGTGTTGAGAGGGTTTGAGGTAGTGGTGGATTGAGACGCAGTTTTTTTGTGCGAGGACTTGCTGGGGGAAACAATCGATTTGAAGATCGAGGTGGCTGTCCGTTTATGGTTAGGTGCGATAGGTGGGGGAGCCGTGATAGTTGATACCGGTGCCATCGCGGGAGCCATCTCGGTTGGAGAAGTTACAAAAAAAGTGTGGGTAGCCGTATTTTGATGTTTGTATCCAGATTGCAGAGTCTAAACAAAGGCGGGGACTGAGCAATTGCAGATGCAATTGAAACGAATATAGCCAGCCAGCTCTCTGAAGACCTGCTCAGAATAAAGTACGAAAACAAAAATAAGGACAAAATCGCGAAATTTGGGGCAGAGTGTGGGGAAGGTAAGTTAAGGTAAGGAAGGCGATGGACTGAAAAGCAAAGGGGCAGGCGGGAAAGGGGCTGAAGAAACCCGTTGAGACACCACAGAAGTCAACAACAAAGATTCAGTCAAGCGAAGGAACGATATGATGCAGTCACGGGGGGTTGAACAAGGAAGAAGGGAGAAGGGGAGAAGGGAGGAATGGATAGAGTAGACGGGGAACCGAGGGGATAAGTAACAAACCGGACACCAGAATGTACCCAAGCTGCGAGGTTCTTGAAGGTCCCGCCCGTTGTTTATCATACTGAGCTGGCAGGGAGGGCGCGGCTCTATTGCGGTTGCCACAGTAACAAACTTCAGCCCCCGCATCCAAACAGATCCAAAGCCCATCCCTCCATTCCGCATAGGGGTTAGTCTGATCAGGGCTGTGGTCGTCTCCCAGCAACCGGCACCCCCTCTGTGTTTTTTTTTTCGTTGTTATGGAACTATTGTTGGCATCTCATGCTGTCCCCCTCTTCTTGCTGCTGCTGCTGCTGCTGCATGCACTGCATCTCCCAACGGCCTGTCAACCATTCCGTCGCTTCTCGTTTGTCCATTTCTTATCAAATCAGAGTGCTCGAAAGAAAAGCCGTCCCGCCGCCGAGAGTGCACAATGTAGAAACAAGCTTAGACATGGGACACTTAAAGAGGGATGTCTACCTAGCAGAGTTCAGAGCCCGGAGACGCTACTGTAGAGTTGTAGCGGCACTACCATACTCTATTCTACTCTGGACGAACATGTGTACTTCTGTCCACTGGTATTCTACTCTAGATTGAGAAGTACCTACATGAACCCGTAACAGCAACCCCCAACCTAGCAGGGTGGGATGTTTACGTGGTATCCTTCGAGTCTGCAGAACGATATGTATTGGTAAAACACTACCGTAAATACCGGCTATACGAGACTACATTATACCTAGATACATGTATAGTGGCCCTACGGCATCGACGCACTGACTTAACTCGAGGGGTTCCAGGCTAATGGTGATGCGCATACCCTCTTTGCCTGCACCTTATTCAGGAACCAAAAAAAAGCAAGCATGTAATTCGGTTGTCTGGGGAGCGAGTCATCATGCTGTCAACGGCGGGACCACACTAAAGAGGGGAGCCACAAGAATGGAACCGGAACAATAATAATCACCCCCGGACAACAAGACTTTGAACAGCGAGAAGAATCCTCCCCCACTCCTATGATGACAGAGGAAGAAGGATCTTTTGCCCGGGATCTTCCCGACTCATCAGCAGCATCAGGCGATTCCGTTACTCGGGTCAGCTCTGGGAGAACAATCCTCCTCCTCCTCGGTGCCCCCCGTGCGTCCACCCTTCGAAATCTACCGTTGATAGACTTCGACAACGACGACAACAACAAAGAGGACCTCCCCGCTTTCTGGGGCCAAACCAGCGGCAATGTGGATCATGTGACATCAACCTCCCTGCCAATTCCCTCCGCTACGGAACATCCCGCGGTTTGGCGAATACTACCACTGAAGCGAAAATACCTACATACCGGGTTTTCACAGCGTCCGGAGGTCCACACCCCTGCTTATCTACGTCGAGAAGAGCTCAGACAGGACTACAACTCTTCTATTGACCCCTCTTCGACTACTTCCACGGACATTGGAGACGACGATCTTAATCGCTCATTCGCGGTTCATAATATGCCCTCTTCCCCAGTCGCCGGCCCGTCAGATCTCGAAGCCTCCTTTACTAGTACCGCCGCTGCCTCATCTTTCTCGTCAATCACAGAAACTCCAGCTCCACCTCCAATGCTCTCAATTATACCTTCTATGGCATTGACCAATTTGCAGAACCTCCCAACTGCGAGCTACCTTAAGTCTATTGTCCCTCAAACAATGAGTATTTCAGCAATTGTCGGGATTATACAAATCTCCGAGCCACGCACATTTACCATGAAACGTTACGGCACGCAACTAACCATACAGACCCTCTTGGTGGGCGATGAAACGTCTGCTGGCTTCAAGTTGGACCTATGGCTACCCAACGGGAAGCTTACATCCGCCGGTGAAGCCTTTGTAGCCACTGTCGATTCACTGCGTGTTGGAGACATCATACTCGTTCAGAACATGGCACTTGGCTTTTGGGACAACCGAGTCAATGGGGCAACATTGCGTAAAGATCGCACTCGGATCGAGTTGATATATAGAGTCAATTACTCTGGTTCAAGGGAAAGACAGCAGTGGAGAGCCGTAGATCTAGAACGTGTATCAGAAGATAGAAGCGGCGTTGAAAAGGTCAAGAGGGTTCTGGAGTACGTAAGAAACTTTGTTGGGAGTGCTAGGCCGACAAAAAAGATAAAAAAGAAATCTCGTGAGGTGTATGAAGAGGAGGAAGACACTTAATTACTGGGTGGTACGGTGCAGTACATAGCTCTGTAGGTGTTTATAGCCCGAGTTCCCGCAAGCAATAACTATTAATTGACCATATCTGAACCATTCGATTAAGAAGTTCTGCAACGAAGAGCTACATGCACTCATACATAGATCTATCCCAAAGTGTATGCGCAGAACTATGAGATATAATTGGCTATCTCCAGCCAGGGATTATCGTTCGAGTAATTGGTTGAATGACATCGATCTCCATCAAAAATTCCCCATAGAAGTAATTCTTATCTCGAGTTATAATCTAATCACAGTTATTTACTAGCATGTTAATATTGACTTGCCAAGCGCATGCCAAGCTATTGGTATTAGCTAGTTCGCATAAGCCTGCTGCCTACCCGCTACCTAGCGGGTTGCCTGAACTACTGGCCTGTGCGCTTCAACCTCATGACATCGCTCTCATCCTGCAGCTTGTTCAATATTGTATCTTGACCCCACATTTCTCTAAACATGAACTCCGATTATCAAGAAGAGACAAAAAGGCCACGAAAATCTTTTAATTTCAGTGAAAGTGAGGAGGAAGCGCCGCGGAAGAGGTCCAAAAGCAGCGAACTGAGTACGTTTAAAACGAACTTCCATTCCTTCTAGTATTCGAATATTCTAACTTCCAAAAATAGATACAGAACAAATTGTTTCAATCTACGATCTCGTTGAAGAGTTGCAAGACAAGGAGGAAAGATTCTACAACGGAATCCAGAGACAGCTCGAGGTGTTCCACATATCACAGCAAGGTCGATATGAAGAACTTAAGAGAGATATCTACAATATTAAGCGAAGGTTATCGGGGGAGAAGATTTTAAAGCCTAAGTATGAGACTAGCAGACGAGAGTCTTTTAGTACAGGCAAAAGCCCACTAAAATCCGATTCCTCGTGCACTGGGTCTCCTGAACCACAGCCTGAGATGGAACGCTCAATGCCACTAGAAAAAGTCCGTTCACCAATAAGGAACAGGAATAAAACAAAAAGCCCATTCTCATCCGCTAGGGTGGCTTCACTACCACCGCCTTCCCCTTCTCCTCCACCCGCGTCTTCTCTTTCTCCTCCTCCTCAGCCTTCTTCTTCTCCTCATACTCCGCCTTCTTCTTCTCTACGAACACCATCTCCACCGCCTCCTCCTCTTCCTCCACAATCCGAACGCGCACGCCGAAAGCTCCCCAAGGCAAACTATGAGCCAAAACTCTCCATTGAGGGAGACGATGAATTTAAACTTCCACCCCCCAAATATGACGGTTCTGATGACGAATTCATTCCCAGCTCATCTCGCCGAGATCCTGACGATGATGAGCCTTCTCCCCATAACTCACCAACGAATCGTGCCAAGAAGGGAAAATCAAAATCTCGGAAAAGCAGTATCAAAGGTCAAAGAAAAGAGAGCTCCAAGGAACTAGAATTGATCAGCAAGAGTATTGGTACGCCTGGTATTGCAAAGAAAGAGACTCATCAAAGCAACCTTCTTGGATATTGGACGAAAGGGGCGAAAGATAGCGAATCACCACGTAAAACTACATCTTCGAAACATTCAGCTACCATCTCTCGGCTTTCATCTTCGCCTTCACCTTCACCTACATCTCCGCCCCCATCGCCGCCTCCACCTCCGCCTCCACCTCCGCCTCTACTAAAGCCGGTAGCGAAGTGGAGAGTTGAAGCCCCCAAGCTGCCGGTTTCAACAGATTAGGACTTAAATCTTTTTTTCTTTTTTCTTTCTTTTTAACTGAGCATTCGCTCTCCACAGGTACCATTTCCCAGTCTAAAACTCATCGCTATGGGAGTCTACTGTTGCAATATTCGCTGGCCATTTCTTACCACGTTATTTTTTTTCTTTTTCCTTTGCTACACATCACACTACGTTTTTTTTCTCTTGAACCCCTTTCTTTTCACTGGCACATATTTCTTTTTCTTTACTTTTCAGGACATAGTTTGATGATACAAAGATCAAGCAACAGAAACATTACATTTAGGCATGTACGGTATGTACTTTAGTATGCCACAAATGGGGTTTACGGAGACTGTAAAAGTTGATGATTTCGTATACTTACACGATATCAGAATAGGAATGCCTAACTACATGTACTTGCACAGTATTTCTAAGTATATAACAATGATAACGGTGACCCATTGTGGTCCCTGAGCCAGAATACAAGCTCGGACTAGCTACCTCTTGAAAATTTGGGTTCCTAAAGATCTAGCTCTGATAGTGGCTCGTGAGATGACTTGAATCTGTCTGTATGTTTTTCTATTTTTGTTTTCTATTTTTTTTTTTTATCTTTGTTTAATTCTCAAGCCCGGAGGGGAAATGCTTGAGCGAGTTCAAATTATGGACAGTAATAGTAACCGTCAGAGTAACAATGATTCTTTAAAAAAGAGTGGAGTGGTTTATAGCTTTCAGGGTGGTTGGGGGATTCTAAATGCTCCTTATGTTTCTGGGTGTTCGGATACTGGGTGATTTTTGATGATTCAAGCCACCGAGTGATCTCTCATGAGCCTTAACAATCATATTAATCCCTTTTAGTATTAGTCCCTAGAGCCCCCATGCGTAGGAAATTGGGTACTCACTAGAAACTAGAAACCTCTTCTGATGAGAGTCTAGATTTGGTCATCAGAATATGAGTACGTAAAAGTAGTTTCCTTTCCTTTGTACACGTGCACTGATTCTGATTTTACTGATTCTAATTCCATTCCACAATTTAAATGAAGCCGAACGGGGTGACAAATCTAGAATACCGAAAGTTTTTGACAAGAACTATCTGGAACGGTTGGAATAACCAAGACAATCAACCCTCTCCGTTTGTGAAACTAGTTTTAGTCGTATTTCCTCTATCTATGATGGTGTGAATATATGGTGACAAGTCTCGTATCTGAACCCACACCACAATCAGGGATCACTGAATATCACTCGTACATTCATATTATAGCAACAAAAGAAAATCTATGTAATATGATAATCCCATTCCCAGTATAAAGTCCAGCTTTCCTTTCAAATCTACTGCGCCGTAACCTCCCTTCTCCACGTCTCCTCTTGTCTTGTCCCCTGTGGTAGCCACCCGTTGGCACCCGCTGCACCCACATTCATCCCACTGATCTCACCGTCTTTATCTGTAGCATTGGAAACTGCATACCCATTTGTGCCGCTCCGAGGCCGCCCAATGGGTATGTTGTCTTTACTACTGCTATTTGCGGAATGGGTATGTGTGGAGGGCAGCAGTGTATCGAGTCCCCTTGTTTGTTCAAGTTTGATGTGGCGCTCTTTCCGCGACACATCCCCGGCTCGATCATAAAGATATAGGCCCAAAAAGCTGCATATTCGAAATTAGTACCAGGCTCCTTGTAGATAGAGGAAGTAAGGAGGAGAAACATACGTCAATCCAATTCCGACTGCTTGCACTGGGGTAGTCTTGTTCCCAAACCAGACAATTGCCATTACGATAACAAATATTCTCTTGACCAGACTTGCTACTGAGTACGTGACGGGAGATACCAGACTCAGTAACACGAATGCAATGATATTCTGACCAAAATGTACTGTTCCGTTGAACATGAACTCGCCGATCAACCCCAATCCGCTCAGCGGCTCCTCGCCATGCTTCCCTATCTGCACAACCAGTGGCACCCGCCCCTCGCGTGCATATGTACTTAGTAGCTCGAAGCCCTCTGAGTAGAACCAGATGGGGGACGTCAACAAGAATGCCATTCCTGAAGAGTAGCAGAGAAGGTTGAGTTTGTCCAGCTTACGGCGCGAGAGTGGGATTGATGGATCGGCAGCAGCGGACGACGACTCATTGAACAGCTTTTTAGAAAAGATGTTCTGTGAAACAAAAATCAATGCGCCGATGAAAGCGCAGAGAATTCCCCATAGGTTGCCATGGAACTCGACTGAGCAGGCGAGCATGACGCCGACAGTGAGGGGGAGGAGGGATAGGTAAGTTGCGGTGGAGTAGTGAACAGAGAAGAGGAAGCGGTAGGCGATGACCGTGAAGAGGGGGGACATGCCCTGTGTTCGGAGTTAGCCATTGTAAATACGCATTCTAATGAGGAAAGTGGTACCTTAATCGTGTGAACTAGGCTGACAGGAATTTTCTCCGTAGCTATGCTACTAGCAATATGGCCTCCAACTTGGAATAAAGCCAGCGGCGCAGTGGTTCCGATAATTGCCCTGGTAGGGAATCTTAAACCTCCGGATAGGCCGGGGATTGTCCGTAATGGTGTAAACTTTGCTAGGAGCGACAAGGTGATGCACCATGATGATACAAAGCCGAATTGTACAATTGTGAGTGTTACTGGCTGGGGGAACGAGTTAAGGATTGTTTTTGAGGAAGTGTTTGACAGCGCTGATGAGAGGTACCTGCAGATCCCCGGAGATTTCCTGTTAGCTTGAGTGTGCCAATAAATGAATTTGTTTCACCACCAAACATAAGAAATGAGATTCTGGCTATCCCCAATAAAAGGGAACTCAATGATGCCCCAGTCGGAAATTTAAACATGTTGCCCCGCAAACCAAACAAAACCAGAAAACCAGGGGGAATGTACCATATCAGACACAAAGTCTACACCACAGTCAGAACCAACAGCAACCCAAGCGAATCAGTCATTTCCCCCAGTTGTACTCACAATAAGGTACGGACTCAGCGGGGCCTTCAAAGCATCTACGACCTCTCCTGCCGTGACACTTCCGGATCTGTTGCGGCCATATCGCATCCTACCGAGGACGTCGGAAATCTTTCGGGAGTGGGTGTGTTGTTGGTGGTAGACTCGGGGGTGCCACTTGTCTTGTTGCTGCTTCCGTGTAGGCGATGTGACGCGGGTTGGGAGGATTGTTGAAGTCGAAGAAGAGGAGGGAAACTGGAATGTTGAGGATGATTTCGGAGAGCGTGTACGGGATAACATGACAGCTGTGGAGTGGTCTGGCTAATATATGGAGGGGACGCGTTGGCCCTGTCGCAAAGTGCAAAGACCCTGTGGTATAAATATGGAACTGTACCTGGACTCGGAGGTTACTCGAGTAGGTATTTGCGCAGATCTAGCTAGGTGATGATGATGATGATACAGATGAACGAGTGATTATCTATTGGTACCCAGACGAATAGAATCAAATGTCTCGTATGAGCTGTAAGTGCTCAAGAAGAACAAAAGGTTGGGTGGATGAGGATCACTCAATTGTTGTATCTACATGTAGGTAGGCATTGCATTTGGGCTGTGTCTATTCTAGAAGCTGACATTTGCCGCAGGGGGCGGCTGACGCGGGAATGGGAACAAGCCCACCGTACCTGCGTAAAACCCCTTCAAGTCTTCGACCTTCACACCCCACCTAAATGGATTGTGATTGGTTGATTTCAGTGCTGTGGCTGGTTGCGACCGGCAGTGATTTAAATACCCATATATACTGCAGCTGCGTATAATTGAGTCCACTTTACAGAACATTACACCTAATTATTTTAGTCACTCACACAGCCTAAAATCGATCATTGTTCTTTGATTAAGAATTACAGGTATCTCAAGGTGTTCTTCTTTCAGTAAATAAAACCCTTACCAATCTCAGCACGAATGCTACTAACTAATCCAGGACCGAAGACAAACTAGCTCATTTACAGTTCCTGGTCTAAACCAATAAGAGCTAAAAATTAAGGAGATATATAGTACCACCAGCATCTACTTAGATTCACCCTTTGTAGAAACTTTGATATTTATTGACTGTCCCCAAATATCAGACCATGCAGTCCAGAATGACTGCAGATCCCGAGCCAGTGGTCAAAGTCTCTTGGCCTTGGCTACATGTACATATACATTAACAGTACCTTACAGAAAATTGGGATATTGCAGATCATTGTTCTATGATTGAAAAGCACGTAGCCAATGGGGTATTTATCTAAAGCCAAGTATGCATGGTCAACTTTGGGACCCTGGCCTCACACGGTTTTTAACATAGTCGCGATGCCACCTCTCTACATGGTTTAGAACTGCCCCATGATATTCTTCATGAAATCTTAGTAAAGCGCTAGTAGGCTTTGGGTTATTTTGGTCATTTCCAATACTACTCTAATGACCATATTATCACTCTACGAGTTGTATTAAGCGGTACAGTACAGCAACACCGACTACTATGTAAACCCATGAGTAAAAAATGAAAGAAAGAAAGCTATAATACAAACAAAACTTTTTATCTACTACAATTTTCTCAACGCCTCCCTCACCAATACCCTCTGTTCATCTCCTGTCAAGTATTCGCTTTTTTGTATGCATGACCCTACACACAATGTGACCTTTGTATCCTCACTGTCAACCCACACCCTTCCGTTTCTGCCCACCGCAATCTCAAAGGCCAGTACTCTTCCTAACTCCTCAAGCACTTCCATACCGTTGGAGATTTCCCCGCCTTCGGCCTCAGTTCCTTCTGCTTTGCGTGCTCTCAACTGTAGCTGTCTGATCTTCTTCCCGTCTCCCAGGAGTCTCCTAGCCATCCCCAGTGAAACATTGAAGACCATGCCACCTTTCAGCTCGCCGAATCCTTCAGCTTTCTGTGATTCTGCGTCGTAGCATTCCAGCTCTGGGTCCATGTGCTTGTTGGCTAAAGAAACTCGTGCATACACAGTACATCCTGGGTGGAGGATTGGGCGGGTCTTTTTTGTAGCCTGCGGGAATGCAAGATGTGGGAGAAGGGCCTGGACGCTAGCGGGGGCAGGCGAGGTGGAAGAAGGAATAGCAAGTATGTAGGAGTCAGATGTGGATCTGAGGACAGTAGCTATAACTGCGTCGTTGAGTGAAGGGATATACTGATGTGAAACATTAGTTAAGTGGGATACGACACTAAAACTAATATATAAAACAAACCCTCTTCCCATTTCCTTCCATCCAAACGGCGCATTTCCTATCATCGACATGAAGCTCTCCAACCCTGTGCGCAACGACCTTGTCAGGTGGGGTATAAGTCAATCCCGGCCCGACTTTTAAAGCTGTATTTGCCTTCTGTGGGGTCGGAAGCTCCGGAACGACATCGCCGGGGAAAAGTAACATTGTAGTCATTTCTGTGTATTGTTGACAAGATTGATGATGTTGGAATGTGGAGATTGAACCGTTCCAAAGTGATGCGCATCGACGGCTCGTATCGAAATTTCGACCCTCGCCTAACAGGGGAGGTCTTAGATCATGTGATTAACCGGGGGGGGGGGAATCAATATGAAACCTCCAATTCGACACTTTGACAACGACCCAACGATTAACCGTGCAGCCAGATCTCCAACGAGTACTGCGAGAAACTAACGTCCCCCCTCGGCCGGTTGAGCAAACTCTCCTCCCAAACTCCCTACGATATTCCACAACCTGTGGGACAAAGATACCCAACCCCCGCAGCCATAACTCCGGTCCTTTCGATAACACCACGGATTTCGATACAAGAAAAATTAAATGAGTTCTAAACAGCAGACTGTAGCAGCGGCTCTGACCGACTGGGTATGTGCTTTGTACTCACGCGTCATACGAGTAGGAGTGGCGATAAGGGATACAGAGCTGATTTTGAAGCATAGATCAACGCGTGCCCCATCGAGCCCAAGATATCAAATTTAAAGGAACTGAGCGATGGAGTAGTTATAGCTAAGGTCTTATGTATGTTTGTTTGCTTCTAGTATCTTTCCGGATCGATACTGATGATGGAACAGTGGATATCGATCCCTACTACTTCAAAACGGCGGCCGCAAGCTCCGAGGGCGGGGGAGGAGCTCCACCCGGAGCTCATTGGGTTCTCCGATTTCAAAAGCTCAAGAAGCTACACAAAGAGCTAACCAGGTACTACACTGAGGCTCTTGGCCACAGACTCCCGAGTGCAGCCCCCAACTTGACCATGATCGCGAAGGACAGCAATGTGGAGGAGAGTATAAAGCTTGTCAAGATAATCGTTGCTGCTGCTGTTCAAAGCGATAGAAGGGAGGACTATATCAAATATATCCAAGACCTCTCGCCGATTTCCCAAACAGAGCTAATGGGAGTAATCAATCAAATGATGGAAATCGACGCTGCAGAAAAGATAAGGGTAGAGGGACCAGGGCCGGAACAAAGCAAGACTGAGGAGACGGATATGGACCAGTTTCGGATGGAGGAGGAAATGGCAAGATTGGTTGCGGAGAAGGAGGCTGTCGAGGCCAAGAATCGAGCTTTGGAGAAACGATTAGGAAGTCTACAAAGCGATTTTGATGAGAACCAGAGTCATCTGTTGGTGCTGCAGGATCAGCTTTCCAGCGGGGCGGTGGATCAGGGGTATGCGAATAGAACGGACCCGATGATGAGGAGCCAATTGGATCAGCTTCAAAGTGATGTACAGAAACTTGAAGATGTGATTGCAGAAAAAGAAAACACGATCCATGGGCATGAGAGTGTTATTTCTTCCCTCAACAGGCGCGTGGATGATCTACTACCAAAGGCGGAAGCGGGAATGAAATATAAGGATGATCTGGATGAGGCCAATCATACGATCGATAAGCTCAAGAAAGGCCAGAATGTAGCTGAAAAGTACCGCAGAAAGCTCGAGGGAATGGGAGAACTGGAACGACAGGTTAAGGTAAATACCACCCGTATATTTTCTACGATTTCTCTAAACTTTACCATTTCTCCAATATTTTGCTCTGTTCCTCACATGGCCTTCTTTTGGCATGAATTTAGACTTTAGAGCAGCAGCATGCTTCGATACTTCAAGATCTCCATGCCAGTCAGGAGCATTCAAAGCAGGTCCCCAGTCTCAAGAGGATCGTTGAACAATATAAGAAGCAAATTGATAAAATGGAGACGGAATATGCCGAGTTATTACGACACAGGAATGCTTTGGATGTAGAGCGTAACGTACTCAAGGAAAAGGTTCAAGGTGCCGAAAGCCAGAAGAGCAGAGATATGGAGAGGATACAGTATCTCGAGGAGAGGGTCAGGGAGATGGAAACTGGCGTTATCCCACAAGGCTCGGAACATGCCAATGGTGATTTAAATTCGGAATTAACCTTCTCGACAAAGACAAAATCGGACCTGTAAGTGCCCCTACTGATTTTGTTTTGCAACAAATGGTTGCTATGTTGCCACGAGGGCTTTATTTCTAATGCGGGCCACCAGCAAAATGCAAATTGCACGACTGGAAGCAGAGCTCAAAAACCTCAAAGAAGGCGGTGGAGTCAATGCAGATAATATGATGTTACAACAATTACTCGACGACGCCACTCTAGCTAAGAATAAACTGGAGCAAGATTTCCTAGTAGCCCATACTGACAAATTGGTTCTTGAGGCGCAACTGACTGCTATTCGTGGAGGTACTTCAGTCGAGGGGTACGTCCGTTCTAAATTCAATGCCCGGTTTATGCTTGTATTCGCATTAGAGAGAATTCTTGCTCAAAGATAGTTTTTGGTGTTTGGTTCATTCAGGTCCGATGTCATGTTGAGGCTGCGACAAAGCCTGGTTGATGCTGAAAAACAACTCTCCGAGTATAAATTGAGGTGTTCGGAAGTGGAAGCCGAGCTTTCGGCCACAAAGAGAGAACTCGTTACTGCACAGTCTGATTGTTCGTCCAATCCCAATCCCGACAAGCCACACTTCTGAGACCCCATAAACTAATGCATGTGATCACGGGAAAAATAGTAAGCCTTGTCGATAAAGATAAACTTGAAATCCTTGCAGAGCTCAAAACGTTGGTTGGAGCTGAAGTCATTGAGCTCCGTCAAGAGCATGAAGAAATGAGAATCAAAGTACGGGAGCTTGAAATTGACGTTGAGCAGAAGAAATCTCTCCTCAACACCGTTCTCCTCGAAAAGGACGAAATTTCAAAGAAGGTCTCGGAACAAAAAGACCTCATGCTTGAAAAGGAGAAGTCCAATAGCGAACTTAAGGCCACCATCGCTGCATTCACGGGATCCACGGAAGGCAGAGACGGGGCATTAGAGAAGAGAGTGATGCAGCTGCAGAACAAACTGGAGGATCGCAGGGAGAAGATGACAAAGACCCGAGAGGTATGCGCGCGGAAGTACTATTATATCGTTCGAGAGAATCAGAAAAACGATTGGAAAGAGGGTGTTTGGTTTCGACGGGTAGTTGCTGATGCGGGTACCGGAACAGCACATCAAAAAGCAGAACGGAATCATCAAGGATCTAAAAGAACAGCTCGAGCAGGCGATCACAAGCACAACGGACGCGAACGTCAAAGCAAAAGAGGAGCAGCTGGCCGAGTTTAAGGTCGGTTCTTCACCATTCCTGCCTAACGATATTATCTAACAACGGCTGTGTGCGTCCAGAGGAAGAAGAATGAGGAGTTAGCCTTCCTCGAAAGAGAAAACACTCTAATGGCAACAGCTTGGTATGACCAAGCTAGTCGCCTGCAGATGAACAGCTTTGTCCTTCAGAGGATGGGAGACTCGCCATCTAGCTGGCTGAACAAGCAGAGGAATGCGATACACAGCAGCAAAGTACGTCGACGTAGTCCACCCTCTATACTTACCTTTCTTCCAATCTTTTTGTTTCACTTTACTGATGGTAAGCATTAGAAGAAATAAACCCCCCTAACCCCACTCGCTCAAGTTTGTAATGTGCAAGGACCCTCTTTCCACATTTACATGTATTCCCCCGTCCCCTTTTTGTAAACACTTTTTTGGTGAGTTATCAACGCAAAGTAATAGGATAGGTTACGAATATTGCCTCTGTATTCCCTACCTGGTATGTCTTTGTGGAACCCCTAATGAATACCCCTTTCGCCTTTTCTTTACCTACTGGACCCTTTTGTCTTTTGTCTTCTCGTCCTCTTTTATTTTCACCTTTTTAGTTACGTACTTTGAATCTGCGTGTGGAGGGATAAAGAAACCTGGGGCTGGAACTGGGAGTTGAGGTTAAATCCGATTTCGTACTTTTTCTACTTTTCTTCTCTCTTACCTTGTTACTTGTTCGATCAATAGAGGAATGAAAATCTTTTCTCCTTTTCTCCTCCTTATTGTTGGTTTGTAGAAGGAATGAATGGCTCTCTTCTTTTCTTTCCCTTTTCTCTCGATGTAGAAGAGGCTGGCCTCTGCATTTATTAACAATTGTGCCTTCTTTCTCTCCTGTACCATATTATATTGGATTGATAAGGTGCGGGAATTCAACAGAGGAGAGTATAATAATCTTAGACCACTCGTTTCCATCTTCTGCGGATATTTATCGCTCTGGATTATAGTGCTTTTTTTTTTTTTTGCATTTTTCGCCAATTCGTTTTCTCTCATTCTAGCAAAGACGCGATACACCTGTATCGTACGGCTTCCCTAATCCTAGGTTTGTCCCAAATCCTGGATAGTGTTTCTAGAAATACATACCGCCATTGGTCTAATAGGTATTCATCATGATTCCTCTAAAATGCCATAACAGTATTTTTTTTTATGTGTTCAGCGGAGTTTTTCTTCTATCTGTTTAATTGACTTATTAAACCCACTCCACGGGCTTCTTGAGTATATTCAGGAGACGCTCCTCCTTGGAGCCGGGTGCGGGTGAATGCATGTATTTCCAACCAGCAGTCAGTGGAAGTGACATGAGGATTCTAGTTCGTGCAGTGTCAGTATGGTATGTCGTCTCTAGCAAAATGAGTCATAAACCTACGATTCCACACGTGCGCCAGGGGTGTTGAGCCCAAAGGCGGTGCCTCTGTCATGAACCAGGTTGAACTCGACATATCGCCCGCGGCGAATCTGCTGCCATTCCTTCTCCTCGGACGTGAACGGCATGTTCTATGCACAGCCTGTCAGCCCCAGTAGTTACCAGTGGAATAGGATGTGCATGTGTGGGGACAGACCTTTCGCTTCTCGATGATTGGCAGGTAGCTGGGCAGGAATGCGTCCAGGCAATCCCTGACAAAGGAGAACAAGTTCTCTGGATCCTTGTCGTCCAGATCGTCGAAGAAGATGCCGCCAATGCCTCTGGACTCGCCGCGGTGCTTCACGTAGAAGTAGTCATCGCACCACTTCTTGAACGCAGGGTAGTAGCGCTTGTCGTGGCCGTCGCAGGCCTCCTTGATGGTCTTGTGGAAGTGGATGGCGTCCTCGTCAAACAGATAACTCGGCGTCAGGTCCGTGCCTCCGCCGAACCACCACGACTGCGTGCTCCCGTCGTCGTTCATGGTCTCGAAGTACCTGTAATTGAGGTGCACCGTGGGCGCCATCGGATTCGACGGATGCAGCACCATGCTCAGCCCTGCGGCAAAGAAGTCTAGGCTCTCCACCGTGGGATCAAGGTTCTTGTGGTCGGCCCTCATCTTCAGCACCGCCGACCGCGGCAGCTTCCCGTACACGACCGAGATGTTGACGCCGGCCTTCTCGAAGACGTTTCCGCTCTGCAGGACGCACGAGATGCCGCCGCCGCCGGAGGACTTGCGCTCCCAGGTGTCGGTGATGAACTTCTTGCCGTCGACCTCCTCGAGCGCGGCTACGATCTCCTTCTGCTTCTCTTTGATGAAGGCTTCCATCTTGAGGCGCATGGGGGACGACTCGGTGACGCCGGACTCGCGCTTCTGCAGTGCATCCCGCTGGTCGATGGGGACGGTGGAGGAGGAGGTGTTGCTGGTGTGAGGTTCTTCGCAGAGGTATGGGTTGGTTTTCTGGGCGAGTTAGTGGTGGGCCATTGGGTGTAGGGGAGGGTGCCATACATTGTAGTAGAGGAAGGCGCCGGCGCTCAATGCGCCTGCAATAATAATTATGGCAGCTGCGGATGCGGTTCGAGACTTGAATGCATTGGCGGAATAGCTTCTTGAAGCTTGGAAAGCTCTGGGGCATGATCGAGCAGCATGGCGGGGTACCACTGGGCGAAGAATTGACCGGGAGACAAGACGGAAAGACATTATGGGCCGGGGGAAGTGGAGGAGGTAATTGAGATGGAAAATTCACAATTCGGGGCGTATATTTTTTCTTTTAAATAAGGGGAAGAGTTTTCTGGAGATGTTGGACCATAAGTATGGAACACGAGATGTCACCCGATTCTGAGACGACGTTCCTGGCGGTTGGTTGGCTAGTTGGTTACATGGCTTCAAGTGATAATGCGGTTGTCGGAAAACTCCCTAACTCCGGCACTTGACGCAGAGCCTCAGGTCGGGGTGTGGATGTGGATGGTACCTGTGGCTTGGGGCGTTGTTCTGCTTCTATCGGGCTGTGGCGGTGGAGAGGCATTATGTCACAGACTTGGGTTCTAGCTTTGCATCACGAGACATGGGAGTTACAGGCATTAACCCCTCTTTCGTTAGCGTTCTGGGGAGAGGTGATAAGTCGAGTCCATTTGGGGTGCTCTAGTTAACCACGGTCGCCCCTCCATATCAGTCACTCCTCACCAAGAACAGGAGGGAGCTTCTCCTGTTGTTGCGTTTCCACTGATCGTTTCTCTTGTAATCAGGCCTTCTCTCCGGCTCGTCATAGGCAATAATAGCAACAACCCCCTCCCCTCTCTTGTTAAAACACATGTAGATATGAAATAGATACATTCAATAAGGGAAAGAAGAAGACTCATCGAGAAACACCTCAGCTGACCAGCTTCTCGAGAGGCATAGGATACATGCCCTATACCTTGTAGCTTGCACTGTGACCTTCGTAGTTTTGACCTTGTGGTGTTCCTGCTGCGTCTGGCCAAGTGAGCGTGAGTCTGTGTGGTAGGTACACTGCACTCGCATACTTAACCCTTCCTTGCGCTTCCCTCCCCGCCCTCCGCCTTCTTTTGTATTTGTACTGTGCCCATTACTCACCCAGGTCTCGCCTCATTATCCACACACCAGCCTTCCTTCATCTACCCTTCCTCTCCTCCCTCTTCTCTTCTTCCTTTCTTTCTTCTTCATCCACAACCACATTCTTACCTCCTGAACAAGTGCTCACCCCCAACAATCAACGCATCTCTCCAGCTTTATAGCCTCTCAAGCTTAACCTAAACTCTACCTACCCACCAAATCGATCAATATGCGTAGGTATGTAACCGACAACCACCCTCTTCCATGCTCGCCACAGAGCTCTTTAACCATGCAGCAAGCTAACCTCCAACTCTTGTCTGCCCTCCACAGCAAGTTTAAGGACGAACACACCTTTGAGAAGCGTAAGGCCGAGGCTGAACGCATCCGACAGAAGTATGCCGACCGTATTCCGGTATGTTCAAAAATCGCCCCCTCCTCCTCCTCATCCTCCTCCCTTGTGTTTGTTCGTATATTAGAGAATGTAGAAAGCCAACAATAGCTCTTGCTCCCCTCTGTAGGTCATTTGCGAGAAGGTCGAAAAGTCGGATATCGCCACGATTGACAAGAAGAAGTACCTGGTTCCTGCCGACTTGACGGTTGGCCAGTTTGTATACGTCATCCGTAAGCGTATCAAGCTGTCGCCTGAGAAGGCCATCTTCATCTTTGTGGATGAGGTGCTTCCGCCGACGGCTGCTCTGATGAGCTCAATCTACGAGGAGCACAAGGACGAGGACGGCTTCCTCTACATCACGTATGAATCACCCAAACAACCACCCAACCCCCTCCTCGGCTATTCGCGGCAGACGGGTAAAGCTAACATTGAGCCAATCACAGATACTCCGGTGAGAACACATTCGGAGAGCCTTTGTAAACTCAGACACGGATTGGGACCAAACGGGGATAATATGCGATGGGGGCGTTGTTTTAGTTTAAACGGGGACAGGGGAAACGAACTGGCGGAGGCGGATTCACGTTCTAGAGAAGGGCGTTCAACTTGGATAAACTTGGAGCGTGGTCCCGGAAGCCGCCCTCGAAGCTAGGCAGCAGCGAATAACACAGCTTGGGGGAGAGGGGGAAGAGGGGGGGGGGTGAGCGCAACCACCTTTCCGTTTCTGGACCTGTTTCCTTTTCCTTTTCCTCTTGGTTTATGTTTCTGCTTTTTTTTTTCGCGGTGTTGAACTAGTTATTATTTTCCTGTTCTTGGTTTTTGTGCATTTCCCTTCTCTATTCTTTTCGTGTTTTTATTTTTGACCGGTGAAGAGCCCTCGCTCGAAGGAACAGAAGAGGCAATGTTTTTTTCTCTCATTCTCTTTTTATTCTTTGCTTGGCGGAGGGATATCGGAACCGGGCAAGAGGAGAAGCATGGGAGGGTTTAGAAAGGACCTTTTTTTAAACTCGAACAACTTGCTTATCAAGGTACTATTGCTGCCGGCGGTGGGCCACTGAGAAATAACAGATGCTTTTCTCCAACTGTTGGATTCTGGGTGTTTTGTAATTGGGGAATACATAGTAATGGATTGGCTTCTCATTTCTGAATTATATACACTACTGTTTTTGTAGAGAGCGCATAGATAGCTCCGGTGTTGAGCAAAGAGACGGTATTGCGAGGAGCTGTTGTATCCTGCATGGAGTAGCTCCGCGGGGTCATAGCTCACAGCTCTCTCTCGTAGCTCGCTGATAGCTCCAGCTGTTGCGTGACTGTTCCGTGTGGCATAGTAGTTACCTACATGCACTCAGGTACGGTATAGTAAACACACATAGTTAATAGTATCTCTTCTATGTCCATAATGCTATGCTATGCTAATAATGTTCCTCTACTATGCCTACCACGCCCAGTGCCCACTCTCTCTTATCGCAATGACGAAACGGACCCTACATGTATCCGGCCCAAGACGCTATGTACAAGCACGCAGCGCTTGTGCGACTTATGCAGGGGCGCATGTCAGGTCCGTAGGGTATGTAGATGGAGGTACCGGGTCCATGATCCATTCCGTTCTGTAGGTAGGTGTTCTGGGGGTAAGCAGAAGAGTAGAGTATTCTAGACTACATGGTATTATTCCTCTTCCTAGAGCATGGGACTATCTGTAAATGTAGGTACCGCCCTGGATATAGCGGGGGGGCCGAGACTATGATTTATCCTGGTACGGTATAGCATGTCATAGTCAGAGGTCGAGTCGAGTCGAGTCACAGGCTGATGAGCGCTCCTCCGAAACAGAAACAGAGGGAGGTGAGGTGGGCAGGCCGGCCAGAAAGCGCATCAGGTGATGTCGTTTTCGAACACAAAGGATTTGCACCCTCTGCTGCTGCCCACACACTCCCCCCCCCCCAGTCAGTCGGTTGCTGGGCTGGGCTGGGCTGGGCTGGGTGGATGATGCAACACCAAGCCACTGCACCCCCGCCTAATTCAGCCGGTGGGTGCTGGAAACGGACCCCCTGATTGAGAGAGGAGTGAGGGAGGGAGGGAGTGGTGGGTTAGTAAGAGGTTGTGAGGACGGGGGGGAGAGCGATGCAGAGACAACTCATGAGGTGGTGGCTGGTGGTGGTGTCTGTGCTGAGGGAGATACATGTAGATGCTGGATGAATGGAGACGGGCTAGCGAGTCGGGGCTATCAGAGAGACTCGGAAGAGACCTTGGGGAGCAGATACTCGGCGGGTATGTATCTAGCTGATAGGATGGAATATCTACTCTCTACTCTGTGATCTCTCTGCTGCATCTGCTCTGCTCTGCTCTGCTCTGCTCTGCTCTGCTCTGCTCCACATACTGCCTACAGAATGGAAATCACCGCCCCTGCCCCGTGATGGTCCTTGAGACGAGTGATCTGCTGTGGACGCACAACTCAGGAGAAGACAAAGCCCTTGTCTGGCCATTCTCTGGGCTACGCCCCATGCCCGTGTTTCCTCAGCACGCGATGCGGCTCTGCTGATCTACGCTTGGCAGCGATGTTCCCAGAACGCAGAAACGCAGGCAACTGAGCTCTTCTTCAGACGACAGCAACAAGAGCTCTCATTGCACAACCACCACCACCAACCACACAACATCACCACTCCTACAGCACACCACGCCCGCCATGTCCTCCCGCTACGTCCGCACGCAACTGCCCCGCCGCCCTGCCCCCGACAGGAAACGCTCCCGCTCGCGCTCGCGCTCCCACTCGCCCCCCCGCAAATCCGCGCGGCGCGCCTCCCCCCCCGCCGCCACCGTCGACCGGCGCAAGCAGGAGCGCTACGCGCGCGACCAGACGCGCCTCAACGCGCTGCAGGAGAACGAGACGATGCGCGAGTGGGTCAACCAGGAGGACACCTTCGTGCTCAAGCAGGCCAAGAAGAAGGCCGAGATCCGCGTCAAGGAGGGCCGCGCGAAGCCCATCGACTGGCTGGCCGTCAACCTGCGCGTCATCGACAAGGAGCGCACCACGGACCCGCTCGACGACGAGATTGCGGACGAGGATCTGGACGTGGTGGATCCGGAGGCGGTGCTGGATGGCCTGGCGGCCAAGGAGCTGGAGGAGCTCGAGGCGGATATCGATGTGTATGTGGGGCTCGAGACGGCGCGCAGCAACAGGGAGTACTGGGCCACCATGAGGGTGATCTGCCGCGACCGGCGGGAGAAGAGCAGTGCTGTTGCGGCGCCCGACGGCGGGCGCGCGGTCAGCAGCGTGGCGGGCGACGTGGACAAGCTGTTTGGCAGCAAGAAGCTCGAGGAGCTGGAGGCGCTCGAGCGGCAGATTGTGGGCAAGCTGAACAGCGACGAGATCCTGGACGTGGACTACTGGAACGAGCTGCTGCGGAGCGTGCGCGTGTGGAAGGCGAAGGCGAGCCTGAAGAGGATGTACCGCGAGGTCATCAACAACCGCCTCGACATCCTCGTCAGGCAGCAGAAGGACGAGGCCCGCACCGTGCGCGCGAAGCTGGAGGCCATCCTCGGCGGCACCAAGGACGTGACGGACGAGAGCACGCTCGAGTCGCTGCCCGTGCAGAGCGCGTACCCCGCCGCCCGCATCGTGCCCTACAACCGCGCCATGGACCCGGAGCCCATGCTGCGCCTGCGCCACGACGAGAAGGCGCTCGAGTCCTGCTCCGAGAAGGAGTTCCTCGATAGCCTCACGGAGGAGCGCCGGAAGGTGCTCAAGATGGGCTACGTGCCGCTCAAGGCCCGCGCGCAGTACAAGCAGCCCTTCAAGAAGCGCCTCTTCTGGCACAAGCGCTCCGGCGCAGCGGCGGCCGCGGCCGCCGCCCGTCCAACCGCCAGCTCCTCGTCCTCCTCCAGCGCGCCGCCGACATCCCGCTTCGCGGCCGTCTTCGACAACGACGACTTCTCGCAGGCGACGAAGGCGCTGTATGAGCGCGAGGTGGCGCGCGGCGTCGGCGACAACGAGGAGATCTTCACCGGCGAGGAGGAGGTCACGACGTCCGGCCCCAAGCCCGCCTGGGCGTCGAAATACCGCCCCCGCAAGCCCCGCTACTTCAACCGCGTGCAGATGGGCTACGAGTGGAACAAGTACAACCAGACGCACTACGACCACGACAACCCGCCGCCCCGCGTCGTGCAGGGGTACAAGTTCAACATCTTCTACCCAGACCTCATCGACAAGTCCAAGGCGCCCACGTACCGCATTGAGCGCGAGGGCGGGCGCAAGCGCGGGCAGAGCTTTGCGCCGGCGGGCGAGGAGGATACGTGTGTGATCCGCTTCATTGCGGGCCCGCCGTACGAGGATTTGGCGTTCCGCATTGTGGATAAGGAGTGGGATTACTCGGCGAAGAGGGAGAGGGGGTTTAGGAGCAGCTTTGATAAGGGTATCTTGCAGCTGCATTTTCAGCTGAAGAAGATTTATTATAGGAAGTAGTTTCTTGTTTTGCTCGTTCTTTCTTTTTTTTTATTTTGTTTAGTGGTTGGTAATGATTGCTTTTACTGGTTTTTCTTTTTCTTTTTTTCTTCTTCCTTTTCACGATATCTTTCATTGGCATTTGTATTTTAGAGCGCAGCAGCAGCAGTAGTAGTGGCTAGTTAAATTGTGAATGTAGAAAATCAAGAGCTCAAGTCAAATGAGCACCATCGACAGTATCCTGAAGCATCTCACATCCCCATCCTCTCTCTGTCACAAGCACTCAACCAGACCACCCAAAATAATACCCCCCACGCCTTCACCACCCGTCAGTAAACAAGCAAATCCCCAAACGCAACACACGCACCACAGCATCTCACTCACCTCACAAAGCTGTTCCACGCCTCGGCCGGGGTCCTGCCAGCCTCCTGCTCCTCCCGCTTGACACGCGCCGCTGCGGCACCGACGCCGACGAAGAGGGCGAAGAGCGGGTCGCCGATTCTAGTGGTTGTTAGTATACTATGTTATCTTGAGAGGTGACGGGGAGGGGGGGGTTACTTGGAGATGAGGTATTTGGCCATTGTATAGCTATTAGATATTGGGTGGGATATTGGATTGTGGATCGGGTCGGGGTTGTGCGGTGCGGATGCGGATGCGGATGCGGGCCCCGATGTTCGCGGGCGTGGGTATGCGCGGGATGTTCCGGTCGTGGTGCAGGGGTTGTGTGAGAGATGTTCAGGGGCCACACTCGACATTCCACACTCAACACATTCCACACATTCCACACTCAACACTCAAGTCTCACGCCACTCTCGCTCACACACTCTTGCTCACTCGGTTTTGGTGCTGGAATTGAATTGAGCTGGTTTTTGGGCATTTGGGCTTTACTTATATCACCACTACTGCCTTTACTATCACGCCTGTTTTCAGGGGGTTCGAGATAGTTATACTCACCTTGCAATGTCGGACGATACGCATTTCTTCGCCCTCCTGACGGGCTCCAACAGGTCTGCTACTCCCTATAATATTAGAAAAACTCATACTGACATTCCCCCCAGCGGCCTCGGGCTCTCAATCGCCCACCGCATCCTCGACGAGTTCCTGACCACGCACCCGCCCACGCACCACCTCACACTAATCCTCACCACCCGCTCCGCCTCCAAAGGCGCCGCCACACTCACCACCCTCACAAAGCACCTCGTCCACAACCTGCCCCCGACCGCCACCTCCCGCATCACCCTAACACACTACCAAGTCGACCTCACCAACCTCCTCTCCATCAACGCGCTCGCCACGGCCCTCTCGCGCAACTACACCAAGCTCGACTACGCCTTCCTCAACGCCGGCATGGGCGCCTTCACCGGCATCGACTGGCTCAACGCCACCACCAGCATGCTGACAAACTGGGTCCACGCCGTCACCTGCCCGACCTTCAAGCTGCAGGCCACGGGCTGGACCACAACGCAGCCCGCGCCCCTCGAGGGCGAGCTGGGCAGCGTCTTCTGCGCCAACGTCTTTGGCCACTACTACCTCACGGCCGAGCTCATGCCGCTGCTCGGCCGCGGCCAGGGCCGCATCATCTGGACCAGCTCGCTCGAGGCCTACCCGTGGACGTTCGACGCCGCCGACATCCAGGCGCTCAAGGCCACGCACTCGTACGAGAGCACGCGGCGGCTGACGGACGTTCTCGCGCTGACGGCGGGGCTGCCGGCGACGGCGCCGTATGCCGATAAGTTCTTTGGCGGCGTGGGGAAGGGGGGGAGGAGGCCGAAGACGTATCTGACGCACCCGGGGGTGTGTGCGACTGCCATTGTGCCGTTGAATATTGTGTTGTGGTGGTGCATGGTTGCGGCGTTCTATGTTGCGCGGTGGCTGGGGTCGCCGTGGCACACGATTAGTAGCTATTCGGGGGCGCGGGCGGCGGTGTGGTTGGCGCTGGCGGGGGAGGAGGAGTTGGAGGAGAGGGGCGCGGATAAGGTGAAGTGGGGGAGCAGTGTTGTGACGGGGGGGAAGGAGGGTGTTAAGGCGACGGAGGTGGAGGGGGAGGGCGGCGTGGAGTGGGAGGAGCTGGGGAGGGAGTGTTGGAGGTTGATGGAGGAGTTGAGGGAGGAGTGGAAGGGGAAATTGAAAGAGGTGGGGAGGTAGGGGGGTTGTAGCATAGTGTGGTGTAGTATACATAGATAGCATAGATAGCATAGCGTAGGTGTTGTTGTTGGTGTAGAGGTGTGTAGTGTAATGTCTAATGGGCAGAATAATAGTATTAGACGATGCATCAATGATTGAAAACACATGTATTCCGCCAGCCTTCAAAACTGCGAGTGAGATTTATCCACACCAACCCCAAATGCCGGCTCTCGACCCTACATGATATAAAACCCAATCAACAAATTCCTACTAAACCATCATTGACCTGCATATGCCAATATCTAACAACGAACCGGGCCCCAAAACCCAATACCAATCCCACAACTACACCCACCACCCACCACCTTCCTACCAAACCGCAATTGACCTGTCCACCCATAACCACCATCTACACTTCACCAACCCACCCACAGAACCCAACCCTAACCACGGCACCTTCGCACACATAGAAAGAGAAAAAAACCGATAATTGTAATTTATACTTATAATTTCTATCTACGCCCCCCACAACCCCCCCTCCCTCTATACCCCACAACCACCACCAGCACCAGCAGCAAAGCCAGCACCTCACCTCTTCTTCCCCTTCTTCGCCCCCGCCTCCTCCTTCGTCCTGATCTTCTTCGGCGCCCCCTTCCCTCTCGCCTTCTTCCTACACGCCCGCCACCTGTCAGCCCATCCACTCACCACATACAACCACCTCCCCCTCCCCCCTCCCCCCTCCCCCCTCCCCCCTCCCACCTCTCCCCTCCTCACCCCACCCCATCCCCACCGCCCACCACCACAAACACAAAACACAGAAAGGAAAGGAAAAACATACGCCTCCAAATCCTGCAGCCTCTGCGCCTCCTCATGGTCGTAGAACTCCATCATGGGGAAGTGTCTCTTGAGGTCCTTGAACGTCGCGATCCTGCGCGGGTAGTACTCGAGCAATGTCGGGCCCTTGAGGCGCTGGCGCAGCACTTTGTTCCCCGTGCGGGCGTTGGTGGGGTTGAATGTTGTTGAGAAGATGCGGCATGACACCTGCCGTTGTTTGTGTTAGTGGGGTGGTAGTTTGGGAGGGGGGTGTTGATATTGTTAGGAGGAGGAGGGAGAGAGGGGGGGGGGGGTCACCTTGGCCAGCTCGAGGAGACGCTCTCGTGTGGGTGGCATTTGTTTGCTGTGGAGTGTTTTCGCCGTTTGGTGGGGGGCAATTTCCGGCGGTCTTGAGGTTTGAATGTTGAACGTTGATTTCGGGAGAGCGCCAAGGAAAAGGGACTGTACCTACAGGGCTTGGTCCGTGCACTTGTGCTCCTCCGAGGATTTGGGCTTTTAAATGACCGCATTCCGGCTCCCGGGCGATCGGATCACATTTATCATCTTTGAAAATGGCTTTTTTTTGGATTGAATAATTCAATTGAGAAGAGATAATTACTTAAACAAAAAAAAAATGATCATTCCCCCCATATCAACACTACAACTATATTCTATTTTCCGAAAAGTACGCACGACACCCGCAGCAACGAGAAATTTTTATACCCTAGGAATACAGAACTGAAACATGAATATTTTTGAGGGACCGGAGAACCTTAGGCTCGAGATTCTCGTCCACAATTGCCAACTTTCCTTTCTCAAAAGCCGTTTAAAGCTTAGCACCAACCAACTCAGCGTACTTCTCAGTGCTGAAAGACTTGGGCCTCTCAATAGGAGCACCGACAGCACGGTCAATGATGAGCTGAGGAAGGACACCCAAAGCACGGGAGACACCAAAGAGAACGGTGTAGTAGCTGGCCTCAGTAAGACCGTAGTACTGGAGGAGAACACCAGAGTGCTATGCAGAATTGCAATCAGTAAAAGAACGCTTTGTCGTTTTGTAGGGGAAGAACATACAGCATCAACGTTGGGGTAGGGGTTCTTGGTCTTTCCGTGCTCGGTCAAGACACCAGGGGCAATGTTGTAGACCTGGCTGACGAGCTTGAACATGGGGTCATCAGGAAGCTTCTTAAGAGCAAACTCGCGCTGAGACATGTAACGGGGGTCAGTCTTCCTCAGGACGGCGTGACCGTAACCAGGGACGACACGGCCAGCGTTCAAGGTGGACCAGAGGTAGTCCTTAATGGACTGGTCGCTGAGGTCATTGCCGACAGCCTTCTTCATCTCAGTGAGCCAGTTCAAGACTTCCTGGTTGGCCAATCCGTGGAGAGGACCAGCAAGACCGTTCAAACCAGCGGCGAGGGAAAGCATAGGGGAGCTGAGAGCAGATCCGACCAAGTGAGTGGTGTGTGCAGAAACGTTACCACCCTCCTATATAATCATTAATATTTGCTTCTTTTTTTTGTCAATCGTTTTGGGAATTACGTACGTGGTCAGAGTGGATAACGAGGTACAACCTCATCAAGTCAACAAAGTCCTTGTTCTCTCCGAAACCGAGCTGGTTGGCCAAGTTGAAACCGTAGTCCTTGTCCTGCTGGATAGGAGCGACCTTTCCATCTTTGAAGACGTTACGGTAGATCTTGGCCGCAATGGTTGGGAGCTTGGCAATAAGGTTCATTGAGTCCTCAAAGGTGTAGCTCCAGTACTCCTTCTTGTTGATACCCTTGGCGTAGGCCTTAGCGAACTCTGACTCGCCCTCAAGAGCAGTGACAGCAATTGAGAACTGGGCCATGGGGTGGAGGGTGTTGGGGCAGCGGTCAATGAGCTCCTCAACGAACTTGGGGATGGTTGAGCGGGCAGCCCATTCAGCAGAAAGTTCGCGGACCTGCTGCTCAGTGGGAACCTCTCCGGTCAAGAGAAGCCAGAAGAGACCTAGGATTTTGTTTAGTTATAGAATTCATTTATATATCAAATAGTGGAGACCGACCTTCAGGAAGAGGCTCCTCTCCGCCAGGTGCTCTGGGAAGGACTTCCTGGCACTCAGGAATCTGCGACAAATTAGACTCAATCCGACTTAAATTTAGGTAGCTGAACACTCACGGTCTTTCCTCTGAATCTGATACCCTCCTCGGAATCAAGAACAGATCCCTGCAGCACATGTCAAACAAAGCTCCCACAAAAATTTCATCAAGAAACACAAACCTCCCACACGAGGGATTTGATTCCACGGGCACCACCGTAGACCTGGTCAAGAGTAACCTCTCCAACGACCTTTGATCCATGCTCCCTAATCAAAACGTTAATTGATGAAATTCATTGAGACATATTGCAAAATCTTACTTCCTGAGCTTCTTGATCTTCTCAATGTCCTCGGGGATCTTCGCAGCGAAGGTCTCCTTGAGAGTCTTATCGGAAGGAATAGGATCAGCACAAATTCAATTCTAATCTGGGAATAATTCATACCTTAGGCTTGACTGCAGAGTAGTAGCGGTAACCAGCCCTCTTAACGGAGAAAGAGGTCGACGAGGCCAGCGAAGACCTGAGGGCAATAGAGCCCAATCTCGTGGGGGAAGCAGCAAACATGATGTATATGGTAGATAGAAGGAGATGTCACTTGAGGAGAGTGTGCTCTGAAGTGTGGTGGAGGAGAAGGAGGGAAGAGAGGGAAGGTAGTAGCCGGAGATCAGGAAAAAATGTTGAGAGATTTTCTCCCCGTTCCGAAACTCCTTCCCGCCGAACGAACTAACGACGTCAACCACCCGTACCCGGTGAGAATCCCACCATTCAGTAACCGACAAATATCGGACATTACAATAAATTTTTGAATTGTAGATATAATTTCATTCAATCCTTAGAAAATTTACTCCGATTTTTTGGATTTCCTTACTCTGGTTCCAGATTTGTGGGCGTAACCCGGTTCAGGTCATAAACAACGAGTTTTAGGGTCTAGGGTAGCGGGGTATTTGAACATGACCCACCGCCGCCCAACAAACATGCCAACGGGCCAGATCTCGACACCAGCTTGAACGTTGTGCTCGAAAAAGAAAAAGAAACCTGTCCAGGATAGGTACCTACCGGTAGGTACTCCGAACTTTGCTTGGCTTGAAGACGATATCTCCTCGTCCCCTTGCACATAGAGTACAGGTTTACTGATTACTAGGCACTATGAAGTTGCAGAGAGGCATGTCTCGAAACTTCAGAGATCGAAATCACTGGTGGATAAAGATCGGAACAGCTGGCGGTTATTGAAGAAAGCGGAAAGTACACGATGGCCGAGTTACACAGCGCAAGCCCGGATTCCTGGTCTCATACTTTGGCTTTTCCAGAAAAACAAATATGGCGTCCCCTCGATTTAAGACCAAATAAGGACAAGTCCAGTACGAGTGAGAAGTCGTGAACATGACTTTGCAGAATCGATTTCAAAACAATATCTCAACCTGCAGTAGCCTTCGCCGATTAGACCTATAAGGCGTGTATGATGAGATTCTTTAAAGAAGTGGGGACAATGAACATACTCAAACTTCAATGGCTGTCCACGATTCACATGTACGGACTAGAAAGCTTTCGTCTGGCATATCCCTCCACTTATATACCCCCGGACCCTGGGGTAAAGTTCGACTGAATTGAATTTTGGAGAAGAGACACAGTCCTTAAGCCCTTGGGTTTGAAGCCAAATACACTATCACAGCATTCGTGCCAGTCTTTCCGAAATATCAGTACCCTCTTCCTGTATCGGTGTCTACAACTACAGCACTGTACTTAATCAAATATCTTGGAATACTTTTGCTGATCACAACTCTCTCTACCAGAATATAACGATTTAAATATAAGGCCAGCTCGGCTCCGCTTTATTTATAATAATAGAGCTCTCAGCACTTACTATCTCAGGGTATAAAGGACGTGCCAAAAATCTCAATAATGCACCCTAATGGCATACATGTACCGGTACATGTAGTTACTATCATTACCGAGGATCGACGTGGAATTAAAGTGCGGCTATGACTCGTGGCTGCATGCATGTCATCGTAAGGCTTCTACCGAAGCTTATCCACTTTAGATCGTAGGATGAACCCTTGAGCTTGGAGAAAAGTTTCTCCGAAAGGGCGTATATATCAGAATGTGTGGGTCCTTCTTAAAAGGCGGATTTAAATCCTGGTGGTTTCACTTCGAACATCCCATGAATCACGGCAGTCACCAATAACATACGGAAGTACTGGACTGAAGCTATTATTTGCATGAATAATCTGGGTCTTTTGAGCAAGCAGCATCTGTTCCGAGTATGAACTATGATTGACAACAATTCCCCATACGTAGGCCGGGACCTGAAAACCCTTAGACCTTTATTCAAGTGGATGATCCTGAAGGATATATAGAAAGAAGAGCTTTATAAACGTAAGTGAACTTTTCTGGATTAATTTTAAAAGGAGCTCCGATCCTGTTAGGATTGAGTATATGTATACGTGGCCAAGGGTTCGTTTTGAGGGGTACACACCACCTGATCAACAATCGCGATGTAAAAGAAAAGAGCAAAACAACGAGCTTTCGGTGACTTCTAAAGAGACACGGGGTCATTTGGCACTCCTTATTATGAACAAAAGATTTCGGCTTCTTCGGATGGCCGGCGGCCAAGAAATATACACCGGACGAATGGAGCTACAAACACCCGATGCATATGTTGCATGTCTTAACTCCCATTTGTGACAAGACATATCTAAAATATGCATATATTAATGTAGTCATATGTAGGGTCCTCGTGGATTTTGAAAGCAGAAATTTTCTTCTCCAGGCGATAATCTAACCTACTTCCTCGGTCCCCCTCTGAAATGAAGTTTACCGAGGCTATTAACGATTGCAATTACGATTTTTTTATACCCAAATCAGAGAAGGGGGTGAATGAGGATGCGGGGAATATGGACCAGTCGATATACTGGGCTTACTAGGCGTTGGGCGGCAATCAAACTTCAATAGTGGTTAGGAGTAGGTATATATCGGCAGCCCCATGTTTATTTACTGCATGTCATACCCTTTCCCAAAGAAAAAGCACTGCCTAGAAAAGTCAAAACATAGCTCATCGATTCCTCTCTCTTGGAAGCTTCTGGTCGGAGTGAAGATATTCCGAGTATTGTTGTTACCTATCGAAAACCGCCTTCAAACCAAGGATTAGAATGAATAGTCGTATCTTTGGGTGCTTCTTCTACGGGTCTTCCGCAGATTACAATTTGGGGGGGGGGTCTTTGGGAGATGTCCGTTGGTTTCATTGTTTAAATGTTGTTTCTGAAGAACTATCAATGCTACTGCTAAGACAGAGGAGCTTTTTATCAACGACCAATCTTCCTCGAGTTTTGAGCTTAGGTGTTACGATATGCCAGTATTACTGCCACAACAGCTGCTTGTTTTAGGCGTTGTCATAGGGAGGTGCACGATTCCAGAAAAATGGAACGCCGCATAATCCTATCGGGTTCTAAGGGAAAATCTCAATTTACTATTTGACTGATTTCATACACCTCTTCTCAATCGCAAAACTTGACTATCCCCTAGGATCGATTCTACAAAGAAACCGAGTGATATTTCATGGAGGGCATTGACTTGTTCTACATACAAGAAAGTAATCCTTAGATGTGTGCAAATATATAGTCGAATCAAGATAGCCCTTCTAGTTAAGAAGCTCAAATAAATAGTCGTTTTCATAGTGAGGGTCCCGAATCCAGGGTTAGGTTTTCTGGTTTAGGGCCCATCAATGCATTTTTCTCGTCACTTGTGAAAATGGTTGTGGTTCCAGCAACCACAGCACTGCTTCACTCTCTTTATATCCCGGGTTACATACAGTCGCCCGCTGTTGTAACGAACGCTCCCATACCGAATATTTGCTGTATCGAACCACTTGGGCTGGCTTTTTGCCCACCCCAGCAAAGAGTTTGGTCTGCTGTACCGAACAATCTGCTATACCGAGCAGAAAGGTGCTCAATATGCACGTTCGTTATAGCGGCGGGCAACTGTACTTTATGGAAGGTTGCGTTGTCGGTGCACAGCATGTAACCCGGGGATCCATCAGACCAGCTAACCCAGAATGTCTTTTTGCAGCGGATGTTTGTTTTTCTTGCAAAGCAAAGCAAAGCTCAAAGTTGCACTTATCAACGGTCGTTTTTCACGTTGGAGCCAAGCAAGATGCTTCACTTGAACTTGCTAAGCTCACGCGGGTCTATTTTTAGATCCACCCAGCCCTCGCTTATCACTAGCGCCTCGAGACAAGCTCATTTTGGCCGTTTTAAACAAAGTTTACAAAAGCTCGCGCCGAGAACAACAGAATTGTTCAAAAAGAGCTGAACATGATCATCACGCTTCTGAGACCTATTCCCCCACATGCTCCAATGCAAAGTGATTGTGGCACACATTTAACCACCTGTAAGAGCTGCAGAAGATAGAGTGGGGGCATCACGTAGCGTCTAAGCCCCGTTGTTCACCGTTGCAAATTGAGTGCTTAAGTAAAGCAGCCTCACTCAGCCCTTTTTTTCAGCCGTAGCACCTTCACAATAAGACTACTTCCACTCGCTCGCTCGTCTCTCCATTTGTAGACTGCCCCAGTGCCGAATCTCTCTCCTCAAGGAAACCTCTTCAAGACTTATCACTAAAGATGTCTGGAAACGTGAGTTGCAGTTGTAGACTTCCTACGTCGGCCGTCACATACTAATCGCCATGTAGGGCTACGAAATGGAAACTCATCGAGCCCCGCTTCTCGAGTCCAACCAGTACGCAGGTGGGCACCAAGCGATGGAGCTCCAAGAGTTCCTCAACGAGGTTACCGGTATCCGCAATTTAATCTCGACCTTCAGACAGAATGTCTTGAACATCTCGTCTCTGCACAACCAAAGCTTGCAGTCATACGACCATGGGTCAACCACCGGCTCATCAGGACAATTGGAAGCGCTGGTTGCAGATACCTCCATCTTGACGAAACAACTTCGCGATGGAATAAAGTATCTGGAGCGAGATACTTTGATGAGTGATTATTCGGCACAGTCCACAAAGGGTGCGCAGACGGAAAAGTTGAAGTCTGATTTCGACAAGGAATTGAAAGCGTATCAACAGGTGAGACATGCTTGCATGCTTACTTTTTCTGCCCCCAAAATGCTTATGACATGTGCTATAGGTTGAAAACCAATTCCGGACACGGTATAGAGACCAAATGAGCCGACAATACCGTATTGTGAATCCCGAAGCCACGGACGCAGAAGTTGAGCAACTTGTTGAAAGTGGTGAAACACAAATCTTCAGTCAAGCTGTAATTCCTCCACTGCCCTCCATTACATGATCGACACCACTGACCCTTTACTAGCTTCTCTCGAGCGGAAGAAGCCGGGAAGCAAACTCAGTCAATGCAGCCGTAAAAGCTCGTCAGCAGGAGATCCAACGTATCGAGACCACACTTATCGAGCTTTTAGCACTATTCGAACAAATGGCCGAGCAAGTAGTCCTCGACGAGCCAAAGTTCCAACAGATTGAAGACAACGCGGTAAAAGTTGAAGAAGACGTGCATCATGCAGCCAACCATTTAGAAACCGGAGTTGTGAGCGCGAAAGCAGCCAGAAAGAAGAAGTGGATGTGTCTCGGCCTTGGTGTCACCATCGTCGTTGTCATTGTTATCATCGTTGTGGTAGTAGTCGTGGTAAAGAATGGTGGAGTTGGTGGAGGCAACAACAATAACAACAACAAATCAACCGAGACTGTTACTGCTACTACTACTGCCCCTGCGGCCGCAACATCTACTGCGGCAACTTAAGATTCCTAAGACTTGGCGTTTCGGCGAATGGGATGAATTGTGGGCTCATTGAAATTGTAATTTGTATATGATACCTTGTATGACTGGTCGGATTTTGCCTTGTGTCTGTGAGTTTCTGGGGAAGCACTTGGGCTTGATATTTTGCGCACTGCTGGTGTGCGTAGGAGAGTCAAAATGGGCAAATCTCTTTTTTTTTTCTTTTTCCTACAGTGTGTTGAATTATTTCTCAAGCCACCCAGATCCATGTGATTGACACTAGCTGTGGTCAACTTTACTCCAGGCGTGCAACTGCCCAATACATGTAGTCTGATACTGAAAATTTTGATAAAGCAAAAATTCTCAATTCCTATCCGTTTGAATGCTTCTTTTACGATTCCAACAAAAGCTCTACTTTTTGTCAATACAATAATCTCTGGGCACTAAGATCTTCTATCATACGATTGCCACTCCTCACAAAAATCTGGGTCTCAAGTGGATGGCCAAAAATGCACCCGATTAAAGCTGTGATGACTTATTATCATCATATTCTCTCACTCGTGTTACTAGCGCACGTGGCCATGGACCGGAATCAATGATCTACAATGCATGAATGTATACATGTAGTTACAGATTCCGCCAGTCCTGTACGTATTTTCTAGATCTGAATGAGTAGAATATCGTACCATACCGCAAAATCGAGATTAAGTTATCTCAGTCGATCTCGCTCATTACATGTATGTAGTACCTAGATCGACGTTTCAGTTCCGTAACACCAAATACATATATAGCCAGTAGATATCCCAACTTCATTATCTTACGCAGCTCATGTAGACCTCTTTAAAATAGATACGGTATTGTAGTCATGATAGAAATCATCGTGTTCCTCATACGCCAAGACGGTACGTTAATAAACACTGATACATAGCGTATCATTGCAAATAACCCCCTGAAAGACTAAATCTCACATGGGTACATGTATGTATGTCTGCTGCAAGTTGCAACAGGACCTCTGCCTACCCGATCGCCAAGGACCCGGGAAAGATAGTTCCTCGATCTAGCGACAGATGTAATGACCTCACCTTGGCTCCCTTTCCAGATTCGCCATCTACCACTGATTTACAGGCCATACGCAATAATTCCGTCTACGACCTGAGAATAAACCCTAAAGCGCTTTGAATAAAAGAAAGAAAGAAAAAAAAAATAGAATAAATACCTCCATGAAACCCATCATAAGTCCTATAGCTAAATGCATCACCTCAAAAGCTTCCCCTTCAGAGCAATTTCTAACCCCGCAATACTCCCAATTTCCAGGAAAATTCTCTCCCCATACGCATACACCACCATGAGTTCTCCTCCTACTCAGAACCTACCCCATTATCAATTTGAACCCCATCATCCCCCGGGCCGATTCCCTCTTCCCTATACCCCGAACCCCTCTACTAGCCTCCCACTACCCCCAGACCGGTCAGCCCTAGTCCGAGATATCATTTCCCTTTACGCTGGAAACCCTAGTGAATCCGCGATGCGGCATTATCACGAAAACAGCATCTACGACGATCCGTTCAGCTTCTGTGACACGCGGTACAAAATTGCCGGGCAATGGTATGGACTGCCGAAAGCTTTCAAGAGCTTAAACCCCAGGGCGCATGAGGTAGTAGCGAATGAGAAGGATGAGATTGTGTTTAAACTCAGGCAAGAATACACGTTTAAGCTGGTGAATATCACAAAGGTGGTCGACTCTCTGATTACGTTGAAGTTGGATCCGGATGAGGTGCGTCTATCCAGATACTTATTAATACGTTATGCAGATATTAGTTTCAACTTTGCTGATACGTAGTAGGAGAAACCCATGATAAGATATCATAAGGACCAATGGGACGAGAAGGATTATGACCATGAAGAGTTGGGGCATGTTTTCAAGGAGCTGAATGGGTATGTGTGCTGTTTTGGATCATTATCATTGGGGAGATAGATGAACTGACTGAGGCTCATGGTGACTTTCTAGAAATCATCTACCAAAAGTAACAGTACCACCAGAGAGTTTGAAAGGCTCTGGGGATGCTTAGACCAGATACCGTACTTTAGTTCTCATGCGCATAGTGAGCGCGCTTTCGTGATAGTTTATGATAAGTTGCAAAGATCTCTGATACCTTGGACATGGGCGTTTGTTTGCACTATGTGATTTGGATACCACGATGAGTTAATATATTTAGGTGCCATGGAAATTCATGTAGAGAACTCAAAATTGCGGGAGGAACTTTTTTTTACTCTTAGCTTAACACAGTTAAATAACCACTCTAAACGTGTCTATGATCTCACTGCTCACTAAGACTCATCTCGAAATTCTTGTAGATCTCGATAATTACGGTACTGTAGCCATGCCATTGGAAAGCTCAATGATAGAAATTCCAACAGTGAAAGCCTATAAAACTGTATCCTAATGTGATAATATAATGCGCAAGCTTGAGATCTGATGAGATGCCTACTTCACTGAAATTTAGCAGATGATAAGTAGCCAAGGGAGAGGGGGAAATATGGTTCCGTGGTCAAGTGATGCGTGTGTGGCCCTGCACAACCGTGAGTGACGGTGAAAAACTATCGTAATTTTCTTCATTTTAAGTTCCTTATCAAGAGTGAGACTCTCCCTCTTCCGAGCTGACACGCAGCTATTTACGTACTATCTCAACGTCAGTTCCTCGTTCACATGAAGATACATGTCCGTAATCGGAACTTAGATAAACCGAGTGAGAATCTATGAATGCAATTCTGCAATTGATTGTATGTACATGTAAGTATGTATGTGCAACCTTCCGGTTATGATATTGCACTAGCCACCGCCCCCAGCTGTTAGGAACTACAGCAAAACCTATCATAATTCCACCCCCACGGTGGCCAAACTTTGCTGGAAGTATCGTGGGGATGGAATTTGGAGAGAGGTATTAGTTAGCAAAACACAAGTTCCGTTCCCTCCGAACGCTGGAAGTTTGGTAGGGATGGAATTTCGAGAGGGTGGAATTATGATAAGTTTCTCTGTATCAAACAAATGAAATAAATGTAATGTAAGCTATTCCAAAACATTCAATTTCAAACAAACGATCGCACTTTTTCCTTCCCCTAGCCGACTTTTCCATCGCCATTGAACCGCCTTCATCTAGCTGCAAATAGCTAGTTATCTCTACGAAGAAGTAGAAACACGGCCCTTGAGTTGAAAAGGTTTAATTGGGGATTGAACTATTAGCCCTACACTCCTGAGCAGACCTGGAGCTTTGGCAGCTGGTGTGAGCTCTAGCTTTATGGTCGCCGGTGGACTCGTATAGATCCCTACTTGTTACGTGTAACTATTAATGGAACCTTCTATATACTTCCTTAAGATAGTTGCAACAGCTACAAATCTATTTTGTTTCGATATGTTGGCTTTTCTAGTAGAGCACCGCAAAATCTCGAGTTATTCGGGGGGTTGCCAAGGCCACCTGCTAAACTACATTTAGTTTAGAGGGCTGTTTTCTTGAAGATCCTCAGCTTTTTGCCTTGGCAACCCCCCAAATAACTTGAGATTTAGTGGTAGTGTCTACCCTATAAAATTGTTCATGATGACACGGGCCATATATCAAGGAAATGTAGCAGAGATTGCGGTCTTAGACACGCTGATCAAGGCTGTGAATTAAAAGATCTTTGCTCATATACTAAAAATTAGCTCTTATCTATAAACATAGGGAAAATGCTATGAGTAGAGTGGTTTTACAATTGTACACCCCCGAGTTGTTTTATCCGATCGATTATTATCATACCAACAAATACTATAGGCTAGAAATTGAATACACAACAACCATTACATATTACGGCTATAGGTAGCCTGACGTTAGAATCTAATCACAACCTGGTTTTCCAAACACAAAAAATCACTCGCACTCGTTGCTAAAACGAGTGATGCCCGTAGCCCCAACCAAAATCATAATTGGAGATAAGTACACATATCCACCTTCCTACTAAGTACTACGCAAAGGATGATCAAAGAGAATATACTCATTACAAAAAACACAAAAACCAAGGCGCACACGCACGGGGATATAGAACCGCATCACATCGCAGATTACCGATCAAACAAAACTGTCCTAAAAAAATAAAGAAGAAATAGAAGCCTTCAATGATTTCCTGGCTAGACGAGCATACTAAAGCTACCTCTTTTGGCGAATACAAGCCAGTAATCAGTGATCAGTCCATCAAGACGCCACCAACTAACTGGCTTTCAGCTAACTCAACCTTGTATCCTTCTCTTTCTGCCTCTCTTGTGCTCTTCTCCCATCCGTATAGCCCCTTTCTCTTTCTCTCCTGGATCACCCTGTTCTCCTCCTCCAATTTTACCTGTTCCGCTTTCAACCTGGCCAGTCTGTCTTCGCTCGCCTTATCAACCGCGGGATATAATCTCCCGCCTGGAATTGTAGTACCGGGGCCACTCGGCGCTCTTGGAGGCGGCGGGTGGTGGTGATGATGTGGGTGCGGTGGCGGAAGTGATGTACGGTAAGGGAAGTTACCCGCACGAGGGCCAGTTGGGATAGCAGATGTGGTGGGAGGGTTTGGAGACGATGAAGGCGGGGTAGAGCCATTTGGTGAGAGCGCGGAGGACATGCGGCGTGGTCCTGATGGGGGGAGTGCCATTGCGTTCCGTGGCTGAATTGGTGGATTAGGCGTGGCTCGTGATGGATAGGATGGCGAGCGGCCATGAGAACTATGGGGGCCTGAAGGTGGGGGTTGGCCATGTGAGGGTGTAGAGAGTGTGCGGTTAGATTGATAGGCACTTGGTCCACGAGGCGGGACAACGTTGTTCATAGGCCTGGTGCCACCAGATGGGCCGCGAGGAGGAACAGTCGAGAAGCCGTTGGAAAGCTGTTGAAGCCTTTCCGGGTGAACAGCAGGGCCGTTCGGAGGAGGTGATGCGCGTCTTGGAGGTGTCGGACGGGGCGAGGCAGCGGCATTGCGTGGGCCCCGTGGGGGTGACATTGCTCTAGAGGGGGGTGAACGGGGCCGAGATGGAGGGGCCGGCGAAATCTTCCTGCTGGTCACTCCAGCTGATGGTGCAGGAGAGGAACCAAAGCCGGTGGCTCTGACCGGCGGTTTGCCGTTGGCGCTGCGTGGTGATGTTGCTATAGACTCACGGACCGGGGAACGAGAACGAGGTCTACTCGGGGGTGGGGGTGGTGAGAACGGCCTTGCAGATCCTCTGCTCGGCGGGGAACCACCCATTCTTCCTCTTTTTCTCGGAGGAGACCCCGGGCTTCTAGACAGCCTTGCTCGAGGGGATCTGGAATCTCGACGTCTAGGGGATGGAAATCGCGGAGGTGTGGACGAACGACGCCTCCTTATTGGCGACCTAAAAGGCGAACGAGACCCACGCCTAGGAGGAAGTGGTGATCTGGGTCTTATGGGAGACCTATCTCTCCGATCACCTCTACGGAAATCATTACGACGAAGTGGAGACCTGGATCTAATAATTCTTCTGGGAGAACGAGACCTTTCCCGTCTTCGCACAGGTGATCGGGGAGTAGGAGAGCGCCTTCTCGAAACAGGGCGAATCGGAGAGCGGGTTCTTGCACGAACAGGGACTACGCGCTCAGCTACTACACGGTCAGACACCACACGCTCTGTGGGATGGGCAGGAGGTGACTGCCTGGACGATGGCCTTTTTGTAGCAGAGCGGGGCGGGCTCCCTCCTCTAGATCGGTCCCTCCTTGGCGGGGGAGTTCTATCACGCCTAGAGGGGGGTGACCTATCTCTCGACCTATCCCTTCGAGGCGGCAGTGGAGAAGGCGAGCGACGTCTATGGCGATGCTCTCTAGGTGATCTAGACAGCGGGCTTCTTCCACCCCGTCTACGAATTGGTGTCAATGATCGACTCCTATCTCTTCTCCGAATAGGGCTTCGAGATCTTGCCCTGTCCCTGTCTCTGACAGGTGACCTAGAAGGCGACCTATGGCGGCGAATCGGAGAACGGGACCTGCCTCTATCCCCAAATGGTGGGGAGCGAGAGGGGAACCGACGACGCGTAGGAATATAGCTATCACCTCTTAGAGGCGGAGAGCGGGACGGGCGGCGACGACCAGAGCCCGAGGAGGGTATATAAGAATCGAGACCGCGATGTGGTGATGGGTCGCGGAAATCACGAAATCTAGTTACAGAGAAAGGCCGTCAGCAAACAACGTGTCTTCTAAAATGTGATAATGGGCTAGAGGACATGCCATGCGACCTGAGATCACACTTTTTGTCCCTTTATGGATGAAAAGGAGTAGCTTGATATTTTGATGATGATGATGATATGATGTTTGTACCTTCTACTGTCCCTATCGCGGTCTCTGTCCCTATCTCTTTCCCGATCTCTGTCCATAATAGAAAGGCGGAAGCTCCTTTGTCTTTGTTTCGGTCAGAAGCAGGTGTATAAAGGTTGATTCTGGATTGATTATGATATCGTAGCAATAGCACTTGAGGCAGCAGTAATTGTTGGCAAGGATCCTCGGCGGTTACGTTATACTACGTAGTGAGAGTAGTAGTAGTTATTGTGGGAAGAATTCGCTAAGAGTTTGACAGAAGCAGGTATATTTAGAGCTGCGGGATGTGTCTGGCAGAGCGGTATTCGGTGTGTCGTGTTGGCTTTGATTGAATTGACAAGTGGAGTGGGGGGGTGGAGTGAGTGTGAGTAAGTGAACAAGTGACGGGTGCCTGCAGTCGAAGGAGAGAGGTGTAAGAGAAATATTCAAGGAGGGTGGTTGGTAAGATTAGTATCTATCAATTCCCTCAAAATTGAAGCATTATTAGATGTACACTTGGTAGTCGTGACAGCAACAGTTATGGTAGTAACAATAGATATGTAGATAGTTGAGGTATTGTATATAGATACAAGATATAATTGAGGCGACTACTCAATACAGCAACTACGACGATACTAGCAGACTTTTCTCCAGGAATTTTTTTGGTGATTCCATTTTCTGGAAGCAACCCCAAAGTCGCCTGGTCAGTGACAAACCCTTGGCACCTACACATGCACACGCACACGCACGCCACGCTAGTACCTTTCCTTGATGCGGTAGAATAGGCTTGGTGCGCAACCCTATTTAGGGCCACAGCCAGCGTTGTGATGCCAGTCAGCCTCTCTGTGGCGCCTTTTTCGACTACCTATGTCTACATGTAGTTAAGTCCATGTATGTACATAGTAGCCTAGCCAGCTTATTCATCCCCGAGACCACGAAGCTTCAATTCTCCGACCTCAACTTCAAATTTCCAAATTCCCACCTATTCACCAATAATACAATAATCAAACAATGAAGTTTCTACTGGCCTCCCTGCTAGCATCTGTTGCATCAGCATTTACCGTAACCGGGACCTTCGCACCCTCCCCCCACCTCCCTAATCCTGCTCTTCTACCCCCCACAACCTCACTTACACTCACCACCTCCGGCACCACCGCGCGCACCCTAATCTCAACATCTAACGGCTTTACTTTCCACAATATCTCGGCAGGATCCTATCTTCTCGATGTCGCCTGTCCATCTCACCATTTTGCGCCTCTTAGAGTCGATGTTACTGGTAACGGTGATGTGAGCGTGCACACCACGTTCCGCGGGAACGAGTGGAGCAATCTAGGGGAGGCACGGCCGTACCCAGTGATGCTACATGCGATCAAGACGGCAGACTACTATGTAGTCCGCGAAGGCTGTATGTGCCCCTTTCCCGATTTTTTGTTTCCATACATAGATAATTAACACCGTACTGGTAGTCAATCCAACCAAACTTCTCGCCAACCCAATGATCCTCGTCGCCATTGTATCACTCGTGGCGATTGTCGGCCTCCCAAAATTGGTTGACAAGATGGACCCTGAACTCAAGGCCGAGTTCGAAGAGTCGCAGAAGAAGGTTGGCGCGGCGCAGGCGAACCCATTGGGCGGGTTCGATGTTGCTTCGTTCTTGGCTGGGACATCAAAGCCCGCAACACCAGAGGTGAAGCAGAGTGGGAAAGGGAGAAGGAATTAGAGTAGGGTGGGATGGGTGATATATATCAGTGATTATCGTAGATCCTTTTTTCTTGCATTTTCTTTTTTTTTTTTTTTTTGGCTCAGCAGTTATCTTCCTCATTTTGATCACACGTAAGTCCTATGAAGCGGATTGAATTATCTCGGAGAGTATGGGCTTATCTGGTTAATGTATCATCACGGATAAATGACTTTGTGAATGCTTCCATCGAGCCTGAGATTGTCGTTTGACTTTGTCCATGATTGTAACACGATACATCCTGTAGGTAAATACAGTACCGTAGCTGGTTGGTTAACAACCCTATCCCTACCAGCGCACAAAACCTTAACACATCATGCCAACAATCTTAATTTCACCTCACCATGATTTTTAAACAGAGTATTAAGAAAAAAAAATGATTAATCCAAAATTCCAGAGGTATATTTCCTAACGTCGTATCATATACATCCATTTTTTTTTTTTAAATTCCAATTGCCCAAAACACCCGAGAGAAAAATTGATAGGTATCTATTATCAGCCAAACAGGATGACATGCTTATACAATTATTATCAAAGGCATAAAACAGGGAATTTCTAAACATTAAAAAATATCCCCACTAATTCCCAACAAAGAAAGTAAGAAGAAGCCTGTGAAGAACGATAAACGCTTTAGTGCTTCCCAGTAGGAACTTCACCGGTGAGCTTCGCGACGGCTTCCTTTGCTCTGTTGTCCCGGGTGATATTAGTAGATGATCAGATATAAAGAGTTAAGTTTTGAAGAGGGGCATACATATCACCCATTCCAACCATGCAGACTGTCTGCCAAACGCCAAGTCCGATTCTAGGAGTGACACCACGGTAAAGTCCTTTCAGTCCATTCTGCTGGTAAATGTACTTTGCTGCCTTGCTGACAGTGAGGTTCTTAGGACGATTCGGATCCTCTTTCTTGCTCTGCATCTCAACACGGATGACCTATGATATATTTAGCGTCTTTACCCTCACAAGATCCGCATATATATTCACCTCAATCGGTTGATTCCAAGCACTCAAACCACCACCAACAACACTGGCCAAGATTTTCTCCCATACGGCCAATTTATCATTTTCACCCTTTCCAGTAGCTTTTCTGATACCCTGCTCAGCGAGCCTGCTCAAACCGAACCTGGAACCCCAGTTGGTCATTTGTCTAATCGCAACAGCGTTAACACCTCTGTTGATACCCGCGATACCATCCTTGCGGTAGATATCGGCAAAGACGCCAAAGGTAGACTGCGGCTTAATTCCAGAGGCAGCCTGTTTGTGACGGGTGATTTCGGCCGTCTTCATACAGGTACAGAATCCCATGGTAGCATATGCCTGCGCGACACCACCGATAACACCCCCCGTGATACCGGCGGTGAAGCTCCCAGCTCCGAAAGTCCGAGCATGGTATCTGTGCCGATGGTTAGCCGGATTTTTTTCCTCAAAGCAAGAGAGGCACATGGAATTCACTTACTCAGCCTCAGAGGAAACAAAAAGAAGAACTGCTCCTTTGGTTGATGCCTCAATCCATGCCTAAATTTCAAATTCTTGGTTAGTTTACGTGCTCCGTTCAACCGGCGATTGCCGACGCTCGGATTCTTTGCATGTGCCAAAACATCAAAAGGTGTCAACTAACCCATGGGATCAACCCCTGGTAGACTAAACGCACAGGTAAGAATCAGCTGCCACTCCCGCGCAAGGCACTGAACTGGGGGGGGGGGGGGGGGGGCAGAACAACGCACATCCGAAAACCCCACCACGACTCCATGTCGTCTTGAAAGCAGTCCCAATGCTGTCCCCTCGGTTGGCTGCCATATGGGTCTGGAACAATTTATCAGCTCTATCATATCTTTTTTAAGAAGATTCTTCTGTCGGTGATGAGAAATAGTGGTTTACCTTGATAACCTCAAGAGGCTATCTCGATCAAAAAGAAAATACTAGTTAGCTACCTATTCGTAGTTCCTTGGACGTTTCGCGCAAGCCTGTGCGATCATACCTGTCCCAACGTAGTGACCCTATGGGCAAAAAAAAAAAGAGAAAATCAGCTTTTTTATCTTTAAGGACGAATGCCCGTAATAACCAGAACTTGAGGAAACATACTCGAACATATTCAATCCAGCTCCCACTATTGACTTCAGTGTTAGACCTCTATCTCTTCTTCGAACGCATATAGTAAAGGGAGGGCGTACAGAGCAGATTGGAGAAGCTCACGGGCTTCTTTTGAATCACATTCGTGGTGGTTTCGGCTGCCATTGATAATTATTCTCTTGTCTTAAGGGTCCTGACCAAGGACGAAAAAATTGCAGAATTGAGGGAAAGTGTTGGGAGATGTGCTGAGACGACGATAGTGAAGCTTTGACGAACAATAGCAGAGTTAGATGCGGTTCAAGAGGAGAGGGGAATAAGGGGGGAGGGGCAAAGGAAGGGTTAAAAAAAGGAGTCAAGTACATGTATGTACCTACTTACCAAGGGGGGACTTAGTTTGGGGGTGAAGTAAAAAATCGCAAGCTCTGGTTTGTTGAGGACACCACTGGGGTCGCGAGCTCAGCGTGCGGCTGGTCCATCAATGCCCGTGCTTTCGTGCAACCATCGAGACAACAGTCCCAGCAGAAGATCCGAGTATGTCAACTCCATCCTGGACACGTTTAATATACACCATGCCATAAAGAAGTCATTTCTACATCTCTCTACATAGAGTAGGATACATACATATGTATGGATACCTATGTGCTTTTAATCCGTTTTGTCTATCCGATGATTGTCCCGGCCAGTATGAATAGTTGAGGCTCAGAAATCCAAAGATCAGGATCATACAGGCCCATCCCCGGGTCGGTAGGGCGGAAAGCTAATCGTTCGTAGATACAAAATCCCTTCTGACATTACCTATAACTCACATAAAATCCTCCCCTATCTAGCTCCCCCAAGCTCTAGGATTGATTTAAAATCTAACAGGACACATATATCTTTATAGAAAAGTCTCGAGCTTGAATAAAGTCCCGACACCGTCCATTCTCGTGGAGTTTGCAGCATTTCAATTATGATAGGAGAGACGCCTGCAAATTTACTGTCTATATGTAACTAGAGGAAATGTGGGAGTTTTCGTGTCCGTCTCCCCCGAATAAGAACTTCCACTCTTAAAGCCATATTGTTTTCGGCTGGGCTTTTTTTTTGTAGCATAGGTGTATGTACGTACTCGGCGATAAAACTACTCAGGTCCCTCGAATTAACAGCTCTGATAGGATATGACCATGGGCCCACAGTTCTAAGAGGCTTGGCACATATAAATTCCCTCAATCCGAGTCAGAAGTCCTATTATGAGCTTAATCATATGTAATCACTCGGTATACAATAATAGGCATTATACGCATTATTAATAACTTGTGTGTGATATGGTTTCATAGAAGCAAAATCAGGACAATTAAAAGTTTTTATCCTTGGCATGGGAAATAATCCCACGGATTTCATCTCAAGATCTTCGAGTCCTTATCTTATCTAATCTCCTAATTGAGGCTCAAAAAAATTCACTCTCTCGAAAACAACTTCAACCACAACCTTACAACAAATCAATCAAACAAACGCCACAATGATTGTCCGCTACATCTCGAACGTAACAATCGCCTTCAATCCGTTCTCTCCACGTGCACGGACAGCACGGCTGTTCATGAGTCTTCTCCCACCGGACGCCCGGACAATGATGAAGGTCAACACCAAAGTCCTTCCCCGGACATCTGAACTGGGCGGGAGCATTCATGTTGTGTTCAGTATGTACACCTATCAACGGAAGAATTAGGGGAAACAAGATGGCTAATAGGTCTGTAGAGGACGGGAAGGAGGTCAAGCTGGACACCTCGAAAATGGGTATTACGGACGTAGTGGAGGAATGCGATCGACACTCTAGAACACTGCAAAGGAAGGATGCATTGACGGGTTAAAATAATGCGGAAGAACATGCTGTGAAGAAGGGTGTATGCAATGGGTAATTACACTCAAAAAGACTTAGAAGGACCGCTGCGAAGATACCGGTTTAATATTTTTCTAATGCCAAGAGCATTGCATCCCTAATCTCACGAATCAAAATCGAATCCAAAAATCAGCCATAGCTTCAAAGCCAATAAATAGCTCTTACATGTATGTTTATATGCCATGTAGTGAGAACCGAGGTAAAGCGTTATATTGTCGTGTGAGAGCAACGCAGCTACATCAGATATGCCAGTGAGAGGTAATGACACGAAATCTCTATTGGTGTTAAGATAACTTTTATATGGATTTTGGCCGTTTAAGTCAAAGAATTGTGTTAGTGCACTTGGTCATACATGTAGTAATGAGTGTGCCTTTTTCGACTATAAAAGAAACGGGTCGCACTTTAGAGCTGACAGGCTGGTTTGATAATCTGCTATGGATGACGTACTATGAGGACAAATTCACTATAAATATCGAACACCCACCTATGCCTATCTCATACGTAACAAGCTAATCATAATACTACACCCATCTCATAAACTCCCACTTGTCCCTTTGACTTGACCTTCTTCCTTATTCACTCCACTTGAAATATCAACCCATCCTGCGTTCATATAAATCTACTTCAGTTACGAGCATATTACTAAGTATCCGTACAAAGCCAGACATCAATCCCCCTTATCTCACTTCACCCCCCCCCCCCCCCCCCCAAAAAAAAAAAAAAAAAAAAAAAACATCCTGCTTGCAATGGAATCCAGACAAGCAATTGTAAACTTTTTATCAATAAGAGATTTCAGGATATCGGAAGCTCACTTAGTCCCTTGGAGCTCCCTTCCAGAATTATACACTCAAAGGATATTAGGGGACATAAAGTGGAGTCCGACCGTTTTCGATCGTATTTTGAACATTCTAGCTATCACACCAGAAAATTTAACGTGAAAGACCATGGTGTTCCACCTTTGCAACATCATCATCACTTGCATACAGACAAACTGGCTAGTGGATCGATCTCTTTTAAAAATAAGCAACAGGCGGATTCTACCAGTGCTAGGTATATGGGGTCCATTGGTCACACTGGAGTTACTGGGAACGCTGGGGCTACTGGAAATTCTGAACCTACTGGAGCTATTAGACACATTGGAGCTCCTTTATGGCACGAAAAAGCCACTACAACGGCCTGCCGTTCGCATGTGGGAATTAACAGAAGCAGATGAGTGGAAGAACATATCTGATGGCGTCAAACATCTAGGCGAAAAGAAGAAAAAGCAGGGACAGGGGCAAGATGTGAAGGAGGAGAAAGGAGAGGGAAGGGGGGAAAGCGGCGAAGGCAGCGAAGGCCAAGACGAAGACAGCGAAGATTACGTTCACGTAATCTATGCAAAGTCGAGTGGATGTTGCAATCGGAACCTAGTGAAGGCAGCAAAGGTTAATGACGAACTTCCTAATGTCATTTCCATCCGGGAATCGTCTCCACGAAGCTCTCCCCCCACAGATGCGACTCTGAGCGAAGAAGAAGAACCTTCTTACGAGGACGATTTTATCATTATCGAATATGAAAACATGCACCGAGCTTTAGGTATATTTCCACCCCGCTCTATGCATCCAAAAAGTCTTCTTTTCCTACAATTGGTAAGTGCGATGCTATAGTTCATGTATATCTACAAATATATGCGTGCGCTTGGGGGTGAGATTGTTTGATTGAGTGTTTGGCCACTGGAACAAACTGCCGTGGGATGGGGTTTACAGAATTAGTACCACGAGTGATTGTATGTGATCCAATTCGGGCAGCGGTTCTATTTTTTTTTACATATACCAATCGAACTTTAACTTCCTTCGCTAACATACAATTAATCATCAGATACAAAGTTACAAACCATTTCCTATACATGAGCTACAACCCTTATTTAGGCCTTAGTCAATTCGGTTAGCTACGATCCCTTCGTTCGTTTTCGAGGTAGTTGGGATTTACCTGTTAAGGTAATTCTTGCTTTAGTGAACCTAACCCTGACTCCGTGGAGCATTTTTGCCACCAATGTCACGGTTTGTCACCTATCTTTAGTGAAACTTCCCCTTTCTGGCAGCATTACATTACCCATCATGGTTAATTCAACGATTAGTACGGCGCTATTTCTCGCTTAATTACCGTGAAACTCGGGCACGAACGAAGGGATTAGAGTTGAAATATGTGCATAAACTTCACGTAGCTAGGAGGCCTAGGGTTACCAGATTCTTGAGCTTCAACGAAGCTGATATACATGTAGTTTTCTTCTTCTTCTTCCCTTTTCTCTTCTGAATAAGATTCAATTTTAGCTTAATCAGGACTTAAGCTATTTCTGCAGCTTTACAGAGCTGCACGAGGCGTGTCCTGTAAGCGGCAAAACATAAGTTATGTATTGTTTCTGTAGCTCCTGTTATAACAAGCTAAGGCTCTTTCATTCTAGATTTTTGCTCCTAAAAGCAAACATAATAACACTCGGGCCCTTACCTCCCTATAAGATTTTAAGATAAGCATGTATTTACCATGTAGCAAAAGCTAAACCAACCCTAAAATCCTTATTCCTATTATTACGATGGTGGCCATAGAATAATTGGTCCTATGAGGTAGAATTCAAAGCTCAGATATGAATCCAGGGAAATACAGGTTCCGCAATCTTGTAGGTAATTGATGAACTGACTCTAGGTCACCGATTCTTGTAAATATACCTCCCCTTCCCACCCTTCTCAGCTTCTCTTCTCATTTCCTCGACTTTCTGTAGCCTCATTTCCTCGGCTGCTTCATGCTGCCTCTCGAGATCTTGTGTATCAGGAAAATCTGCGTCCCAAAACCCCGGTGGACTCTTTCGTCTAGGAAATGCATCTCTATGCCTTCCAAACCTGGCCGTAAACCTTGCATCCAACGCCACTTCCCCCTCTTCATCACAAGCTGTATCGGTGGATGCTGGAGGAGGACTATATCTCCACCTCGGCCCTTTGGGTGGAGGGGATGGTAACCCAGCTGCCTCGACAAATCCTGTAAGTCCCTTACAGCAGGTCTTTGCGCACCCAGGTAGACATTTACGTGCCTCGCGATCACGAACAGTCTCGGCAAATGCATAGTCCCTTCCATCATTGACTTTCGGGTTGACCCGAAAGTGCGAAATGTCGAGTTTGCTCTGGCATGAGTAACTTTTCTGTTTCCTTTCGGCTAAGGCATCAACCCAGTCCTTCTGTGCCTTTCTATTCGGCGGTTCACTTGTACTTCCGGGGTTTTCCGGTCCTTTCCTGAGGGTTTTTTTCGGTGGAACACTACTCCAAGCTCCCATTTTCTTTTTCAAGTGTGCAAGACTTGGAGTTTTCGGTGCAGGCGAGTGAAGCATCTCACTTAACTTTGGAATACCTTCCAGTTTCCTCTGTTCTTCGGATATATCATAAGTATCAATATCGTCGATCCCATCAGTCCCATCCTCGGTGATTTGTGCTATGGAGTCTCTGGCGATTGTGCGACGCTTCGCTTTTGACTTCTCAGGAATGTCCCGGCCAGATTTTGGCTTTCCCGCAGTTGGTAAGGCTCTTCGAGTAGGAGTCAAGAGCGGGGGTTGGTTTATGTTTTCTATCAGAGGGGGGCTGCTCCCCAAATCGTTGTTAACGCGCTGGTTTTCTCCGCCATATATCACGATGCCTGTATCTGGGCTCATGTGGGGCGGTACTGCGGATTTAATATTCGTTATCCCGGAAGATATCCGTGATATTTCTGGCTGACAAGGGGCCCCAGCCGGATGCATGGTTGATAATGGGGACGCCGGAGACAGAGTCTCATTTTCGTTATTCCACATAATACCTTCGTCCTCGTCTTGAGTATCCTCTATCATCATTGGGTCTTGGGTCTGCGGCGTACCCGGTATCATCTTGACCGTAAATCCACCATTACTCCAACCAGGTCTACCACTAGAAGTTACACTAGATGTTGATCCTTCTCTAAGGAGAGAATTGGCAATCCTTTGTTTCTTACGAGGCGTATCTGGTTTATGACCAATGTCATCAAGATCCAAGCTTTCTTGCTCGTAAAGATGATAGCCGAAGCCTTCGCTACTCGCAACACTGGTTTCACTCTTGATCACCACAGGACGAGCGATAGAGCCCCCTTCTTGGATACACCTGCTATGTGTTTCCCCCCTCGCACTTGGAACATTGAAGACTGTATCAAGGCGCGGGGAAGCAAGTGGAGGACGGTCATATAATTTCTGGGTCGGTGTAGAATCAATGTCTCGTGATTCGCTATTTTCACTCTGTGTACTGGAGGTGTTACGATCTTGAGAAATAGTAGTTGGGGTGCTCTTAGGACTTTCTCTAGTGGTATTGACCGCCTCTGTCTCAGCCCTAGGGGTTGCTGGTAGTGAGGGGGGGTCCTCGTCGCTTTCCGTTAGCTCTGAATGGACCTTTTCTACAGGTAAAACGGCCTCGTTCTTAGCGTCCTTGGTACCAGCGGAAGTGCAAATATCAACACCTAGATCTTCAGATCCCGGTTTACCAATAGAACCCTTGAATTTTGCAAACAGGCTCGTTTTCGTTGGAATTGCGTGGGATAGCTCGGGTATAAGTATTGGCTTGTACGGCGAGAGTGGCGGTGGCTTCGTGTAGGGGGTTCTCCCAATTTTGGCCATAGACGTCGTATTACTATCTAATAGCTGCAGCCCCCCATCCTCAGGCATCACAGTCCCCTCCCTTTTCCTTTTTTTTGTTTGCTCTATGCGCTCTTTGTCTGTTTTGATCCATGCTTCCCAGACCTTTCTGTTCTTAATATATTTTTCTTGAAGTCCCAGATAAGCTTTCTTGAGCTTTAATGTTTCATTTCGAACAGAATCGTAACGAGCACTGAGTTCGTAAAATGCCTCTGTGAGATCCTCATGACTTTGTATGGAGCTTGTTTGCGTTGTCTGATCGTTTGAATAGAGGTATTCGGTTTGTATGCTGCGATCGCTAGTAAGATTTGGCGATCTTGAAGTTTGTATTGATGATTTGTGAGGTGGTGATACTGCTCTCTCTAGAGTTGGGAGTTTTTGCAGGGGGGAGGTAAGATAATTCAAAACTGGAGGTAAAGGGTCCAAGTTCTCCTTGTCCTGTAGCTGTTCCCTTGGAGGTGTTCCAAGCCTACAGATGAACATCAATAAGCTTTCTGTTCAAGATGGGAACGGTTGAGATTAAGGCATACACTTTCCGTCTAAGTCCTCTATCTGATTTTACTGCTAAAAGCTCTTCGAGATTTTCGTTCTCAACGACAGCCTCTGCCAGTTCGCATTTTAAATGATGTATTTCGTCCTTTTGGTCCGCAATCTTCTTTAAATGCTCCGATTTCGACCTTTCATGCACGCCAAGCTATCGTTCGAACATACATGTAAGTTAGACAAAGTCCATGCCACTTATAAATAGCGGGCTAGAATCCTACCAGCAGCTCCTGCTCTTGTAAACGACTGTTTAAATCTTCAATCACGTCCTTATCCTGTTCCGCTTGTTCTTCGACTCCTGCTAATCGAATATCACGTAAGTTTCGTCTGACCATCAATTGGCTCCTAAAGGTTTGTGACTTACTTTTTTTCAGCGCTAATTCCAAATCTTTCTCTAAGTCTCCAAAAAGCTGAGACCCAATATTACTAAACGCGATGCGATGCCTCTCGATGATATCCATCTGAGGCGAGCTATAAGAGATCCTTCGGAAGCCTTTTAAGAGGGTATGGTTCTATAACAAGCTTGGATGGGGCCGTGGTCTTGAGATTAGGGCGCCTCTATAGTTCACTAGAGGCGATGTTTCTTGGGAGGTCACTTGGGACGACGCGTAAAGCGAAATTCACGTGTTGCGGGACATCATGCCCTGATAAAAGCTGACAAACCCAATCTTCAGCCACAAATCGTACGATTAGTCAGATTTCAGTCGGCATCCAAGTTAAAAATCCACTTTACATGCCCAAATAAAGAGCTACATGGGCCATTTCAAGTAGACTTAGATGTTAATAAGCGATTACTGGCATTTGGAAATCAACTTGGTTAGGAGTTCAGCCCAATCACTTAATTAGTGCCAAGGATTAGTTGGTGTCAAGTGCTACTATGTGCTTTAGGTACTCTGTTTTCACATTGATACGGTATAGACGTAAATGTAGGTATGTATACACGTATTATAGATAGTACTATTGGATTATATCTACATAATAGGAGAAAAACAATACACAAGTACTGAGAAGAGTACTAAAATCACCAGCGATATATCATAGGTACTATTGAAAGCTTGTGGTATTCTGTCAGTCGAATCCGTAGGAAGAACAATTTTGTATCCAATACCACTATAAAAGTAAACACTTCCACTATATGAATTCCAGGGCATTTCAAAGTTACACAACTCTAGTGGCTACTGTAGTGTTGATGAACCATGAAGTGGCTATCAATACCAGGATGTGACCCAATGTGTGCTTGACTAAGCTCACGATAACGCGAATAAGGAAATGATAACAAGTGAGTGGCTCAAGTCGCCACTGGTCATCTTCAACGTCAATCCGTCGACCACAAAGCTCAAATCTCCGAGTAGACACAGCTTCAAAACTCGGCAATTAAGGGAATTAATCTGCGCCCACCAGTTTTTCCGGCGCAATGCCTAAACGACCAGCTTCGGAATCACCAGAGCCATCTTCGAAGCGCCACCGCCCAAATGTTGTTCCTTACATTAAACGACTTAGCGACGAGCTCTTTCTAAGGATTGCCTCTTTCTTGTCGATATCTGATCTTACATCATTCCAGAAAGTATCTAAACGATTCTCTCGTATTGCGACAGATGGCCAAATCTGGAAGGCGCTCTTCTACAGGAGGTTCGTACGTCCTCGAGCTTCTCGGATTCCAGGAGCATCAAGAGCTCCGCCTTCGAGTCTGCACTATTCATCGCGTAATTCGAGATGGTTGGAGGATGAAGGGCTTGCTAGGGCTAGCGCAACCAATTGGAAGCAGCTCTACAGGCTGCGTCATAATTGGAATAGAGGGATATGTAGTGTCAGTGAGATCGATATCACTGCTAGCAGTAACGAACCACTCCCGCCGCTCCCACCGCCAGTACCGCCATTGTTGGTCAGATTGCACAAGGTACACAGGTCTACCTCATTTCCTAGCGGATCACAGGTTGACCATGTGCCTTTAACATAGGGAATGGTCTTCACCGTGGACTCGACGCATGGCCTTCGTGCATGGAAGTGGAGAAACTCGAAGAAAAGTCCCATCGCGAATGCAGACCTATATCAAAGCTCTCTGGACCCTAGTTCGTACGGCGCTCCTACTGCAATGGCCATCGATGAAGATTGCGATGCGACGAAGGCTGTCAATATCACAGTCGGATTTGAAAAAGGTGGATTTTGTGTGTATCAGCTGGACATGGAAATGTCATCCTCAACATTCAGGCTCCGTTACATCGATCCCCGAAACGGCCCTTCCCCGGGGAATAGTTCACACGGACCGATGATCATCTCAATGGCCTACTGCACACCATACCTACTGACAATGACAGCCTCTCAGCTTTTGACTGCCTATCGATTTGAAGGATCAGACGACATTGACATTGATGGGAGCAAGGGTAGTGCTGAAAACCGCGAGCGCATGATGCATGCACCGAAAATCCTTACATCCTTGCATTCGCATACAGTCTGGCCCCCCTTATCGCTTTCGCTTCGACGATCAACACAAAGCTCAGTTATTGCCTGCATCGTCTACGCGTTCCCGCTGTACATTTCAGGGTGGTCGGTGGGAATCCAAGAACTCCGGTTTTCAGATGATGCGGATGGAGTTCATGACTCAAGAATCGCAACGGCTGTGCCATCCGGTTTCAACCCAGTGCCAAACCTGTCGCCGGCGAGTCCTCCCGCGCAAAGTAGCGTTGGGTCAAAGTCACATTCGCAGGCGAATGATGTGCCTCTTGCTCAGCCTACTTGTCTTTCATACACTCATCCGTAAGTGATATGACGCCTCATAAGACCGAATTCGAAACCCCCGCTTTTCAATCGTATCGAATTTGTCTCAGTTTGTAGTACCAACACTAACACCCTGGGACCTTCCGTCTGATCTCAGATATCTACTAGCCTCACATGCCGACAATACTCTCACCCTTTATTTAGTCAAATCTACAGCTTCATCAGTCTCAATAGATTCTGGACAACGCCTTTGGGGACATACTTCTGGAGTTTCTACAGCCCAGGTCAGCAGTCGGGGAAAAGCGGTCTCTATGTCTACAAGAGGATTGGAGCTCCGTGTTTGGGAGCTTGAGGGTGGTGTATCGGAAAAGAGAAGATTGAATGCGAGTGTAAGAGTGGAATCCTCCCAGGCATATAAAGGCAGTGACGTAGTAGAAGAGTGGCGCGGGGATAGTCAAGGATGGCTGGGCGGATTTGATGAAGAGAAGGTGGTGGTGTTGAGAGCTAAGGACGAAGGTAGACAGGCCTTGGTTGTTTACGATTTCTCCCGCTAGGGCACTATGGGTCCCAAAGATTAGATAGACTAAGAGGATAGGTGTTGAGGAATCTAGAGATCTGATGATACATTATGCGGCTATTTTGGGATCGTGCTCGGGGGTGCATAATATAGAGCCTTATCGTGCAGAAGCACGTGGGCATAGTGCATACTGCTACGTTTCTTTTTCTCGTCCCAACATCTCTGATTTCCATTTCGACGGAAGATCACTGCTAGGACCCTACCTATGCGTGAATTGGGCGGTAAAAGTATTTTAAATGCCATGTTATTCAAAGGAAGTCAGGACACCTTCCAAACGAATAGCTAATTAAGGCTATCTGAGTGTGGAAAACCGACCGAGGATTTCCCTTCGAGTCCGAACAGCTTTTTCGAGATATGTATTCCAGTGTTGCAGGGTGTAAAGGCGGGGAAGGGTTTGCGATCGCGCCAAGGGGGTTTTGTATTTACCCCCCCCCCCCCCCCCCAAATGTGATATTCGGATCAGCTAGGCTGAGTCCTCAGGGAACTGTGACATTGGCGGGGAAACTCTACAGCCCGTGACTCCTGGTTTCTCCTCGGCGCGTAGGTAATATGTACGAGATGGAGCATGTCGAAACCCAGGAAATTTTATATGCAGAAGCACAAAGGGTATGTGGAGCACCGAAAGCTGCCTGGTTCTAAAATGCGGGGGGTGAGTGCGAGTTCATGCTGCCAGGTTGAGCATGAGCGTAAAGTATGTACTCTGCCTACATGTAGGTACTGGAGATAGGTACTTTTCTCTAGGATCGAAGTTGTCCTATGCACGTTGCACATAACCAAAGTCCTTCCTTCGGTGGGACGGGAATCTTGACGGGTGTGCATATCTGCATACCTAGAGTGCCGTAATTTAGGTAGTAGTGAGAAACCCTACAAAACCCCAAAAAGCCACAAAAGGATTGAAAATCGGTTGAGAGCCAGGTTGTACTCGCTTGTTTAGACTCAAGACAGATAACCGTTACAGCACGAACGGTGAAGGGAGGTTTCCCCTGTCGAAACTCGAAAAGGCGGAGTACCACGCGGGGCGGCTCCAATCGGCCCAGTAAATCTCCTTCCGGGACTGCTCTCGCCGTTTTCGGGGCGCCGAGAAAAAGAAGCTTCCCCGCCTTGGCCCACTGTCTGCAAATCGTTCGGGAGCAACAGCCGCTAGTCCTTTACGGGCTAGTTTTTTGAGGTTAGAGCCCTCTCACGGCTCAGATTTGGGCACTTGCCCCCCTGTAGTCTTTTTTCTTTCTTTTTTTTCTCTCACATTTTTTTTTTTTTTACATATTTTTCGCCCCGCTGTTTGCCTGGGCGAAGGTTTTGGCCTAGTCACTACACTACACTTCCCACAATCACGACCACGACCACCACCACCTTTCTCTCATTCTTCACCTCCCCTCTACACACCTGTTTCTCTTCCATCAATTCACTTTATCGTCTTTGTGTCTTTGACCGTCAATTCCACATTTATCATCTCCTCCACCCCACCCACCTTTACACCCCGCCACCCTTAAAGTAAATATATATTTTTCGAAATGGAGTTCGGTGGTTCTAACACTCGTGCTTGCTACAACTGTTTGTTCTCCCGTCCTCTTAACTTGATGTTTTCTTTTCACCGGTACAATTCATCATTGTTGCGTTTCTCTCCCTCTATGAGGGGAGGGAACGCCGTGATGGCAAGTTCTCCCAATAAGAAAAATATCCGAACTATTATTACTACCCCACCCAACCTCTTCGCTCCTCATTTTCAGAATTGGTATAGAGAAAGGGATGGAAATAATTTTGGGGCTCGCGCTGATCAAAAATATAATGTAGGTGGTGAGGCTGGTCACCAGGTACTGCCGTTTTATTGATTTTCTCGATAAGTTGACTCGATTACTGATTGCAATTGAAGGCTCGCGAATGCCCTAAGCGTGGTACTCCGGTTTGGTAAATATTACTCCATACCTTCCCTAATTTCCATTGGATGGAGTGTTTGAGCTGACTTTACCTTGCCTTTAGCTACAACTGTGGCCGTATGTTAATACCTAATATAATTTTAACTACTTAAATTATACATGTTAACTTAGTTGTGTTATTCCGTTTACAGAGGATGGTCATATGAGTATGTTTATGCATTTAAGAATTGATTATCTTGCGTATTGATCTAACGAAATTTTCAGGCAGAGACTGCACCAGCCCCGCGAAGGAGAAGAGTTGCTACCGTTGCGGCCAATCAGGTTCGAACTTTCCTAATTTGGAGATCCTCTTCTCCAATTTTGGTCTCGTGATCACATCGTGCTGACTGTACATAATGTAGGTCATCTCTCTCGTGAGTGCAGCGAGCCTGCCTCCCAGGCTGGTGGTGGCGGCAACTACGGCGGAAACCCCGGTTTTGGCGGACAGGCTGGTGGCGCTGAGTGCTACAAGTGCGGCAAAGTAGGACACATTGCCCGCCAGTGCAGCGCAATGCCGCAGCAAGGTGGATACGTAGGCCCCGCGTCTGGCAACCGTGCGCAGACTTGCTACTCATGCGGCGGATACGGTATGCCCTTCATTTTCTATACTAAATATGCCAGATTTCCTTGCTAATGTTTCACTCACTACAGGACATTTGTCTCGTGATTGCACCCAGGGCCAGAAGTGTTACAACTGTGGCCAGATCGGCCATCTTTCTCGTGATTGCCCCAGTGAGCAGGACCGTGTTTGCTACAAGTAAGTTACGCCTTGAGATTTCCTGGAAACATAATGCATTGTTTTGGTACTAATTCTGGAAAATAGGTGCAAGCAACCTGGTCACGTCATGGCCGCCTGCCCTGAGGGCCAAGCCGCGTAATTGTATCCATCAATTACCAACGCCTGATGTTCAAAAAAGTTCAAGCTGCATAGGTGTTTACGGTTGGGTTTGTTTTTAATGAACCGAATTTTTGTTTTTTTCTTTCTTCGAAAAGCTTTTCTTTTTCATGCATTCATTTTTTTTTTCAATCCTTAGGGCTAAGTGGGGTTCCATTGAACAAAACAAAACACGGAGGATCTGTGGAGAGATGATCGTCCATCTAGTACCTCAATCTCATGACACTGGTTACGGAAAAAGAAAAGAAAAAGAAATGATGATACTCATTGGGTTCTTTCTGGTTAACCTTCGGCTTGGGTCCTTTTTTTTCCCACGCTTCTTCCATCTTCTGTGCTTTCTTTTCTTTCCCTGCTTCTTCCATCTTCTGTGCTTTCTTTTCTTTCCCTGCTTCTCTCTTGTTCATTTAGCTGGTGTATCTTTGAGTGCCCACGGTTGTCTTTTTGGGAACGGTCGGTCCTTGGATAGGGAAGCATGGTCACAAAAAGTCTGGTTATGAAGAATGGAAAAAGTTGATTTAATTTATCGCTTCCCATATACTGTTAACATTATAGCTTTGGCTCCAATTAATACGATAGGGCTCATCATGGAGAAAATGCAAATACAGTACCGTATTTCTATTATGTACTAGAATATGTTCTGACATTAGGCACTGATGCCAATTGTGAGCGATCTTTCAGTTAGCCCTGCCAGAGGGCCCACTAGTATGGTATCCGAATCAATAGGGTCTTAGAATCAGTTGATAATTGAGCCTTTACTATTTCACCCGAATCGAGTAACGACAGGTAGATCTGGGCTGCCCTCTTTGGGATTCTAGGTAAGACCGGCGGCTAAGCTACCGGTACTCAAGTCCTTCCTCCGTCCTACCTCTCCCAGATCCTAACCAGGTCTTCCGATGGGTCTTGCCCTTCAGGCGTAAACTTATCCTTTGTGAGCGGAGCCATTCTCACGGTCACGCCAATACCGCCCATGTCTCTTGGCCATTGACGAATGGTAACTTAGAAAACACCTGGTCTAGGCTTTTATTTTTGCCTGTCTACCATATGTATGCATGTCTAGACGCCTGTAGATCACCCCTCCTCCTCTTCGGTGTCCATGGGATATAATGGATAATGGGTTACATAAGGAAAATGGAAATCAATGCCCATTACACGTGATGCCACCTATTTTGCCAAGAATGTTTTGTGGTCCTTCTTATCGATAACGATAAGGGATAAAATCATTCCCCTAGAATAAATAGGACCCTGGTGATAAGAGCTACGGAACGAGAATAGTCTTTCCGACCGTCGCCGGGGAAGGAGGAGGAAACATATGCAGTCAAGTTCTAGGCTTTTTAGTTTTTACGGTAGAATGATATCAGAGAACAAGTTTGTTCAACTCTTACTTCCTTCACCTTCCGGTCGTGCGCTGAAAGGCGTGTGATTCGTGCGTCCTTCTAGTATTAGTAGAGCTCAACTGATGAGGTGTGTTTGGTTGTGGTGGTGGTGGTGGTGGTGGTCTGGTTGTGGTGTAGTGGTGGTTAGAGAGGATGTTTCGGATCAATTGAGGTTGGTAATGGGTTGTTAGCTTGGAGTAGAGTAGTCTCCGTCCGCGTGGAGTACTTTAATTTTGGCGAGTTAGTCGACGACCGCGGCCAGGGTCTCGAGTCTTGACTCTTGAGGGCTGAGACCGAAGGACTTGAGGGTGAACACCATGCAGGATCCATCGTCATCATGCATGAGAAGGGACCTTTAACATTCAGGATCTTATGAACCCGTCTCCCGCACTCGGGTCGCGGAGAAGCTACCCCCGTCCATTCGCATCACCCTCCTCTTCTCCGCTTGCTGATTCCCTAATAATCAGCTGTCGAAATGCACTTTGGCGGGTGAGAGAGATGTTCGCGGATCTCTATTAAAATAACAATTTCCATAATGGGAGATCTGTGTAAGTAGGGTGGGTAAGAGTCGGTAGAGCTGCGGGAATGTAATTCCGGTTGGAGGGTGCGCAATGGCGGGGTCGAATAGTGTGACAAGTTTCATCCTACCATGGGATAGCTTTTATTTATGATGTATTCACATGCGAAGAGTTCAGATGAAATTCATCGCTTCATAACTTTTTTTTTTCTTGAGAGTGCCGAAGAGTTCGGTACCAGTTCCAGGTAGGCCATCAGCAGTGTTGTGATGTCAATGAGCGTAGAGGAGGAGGAGGTGCATATCTGCTGCACTTTCTTGACATTTTAGACTCGCAACTGCACTACATGTATCTACCGAACCAACCGGGGCATCATCATCTTGAGATGATTGGGCTGGAATATCATAATGGAGGAAGAGGGGACAGAACAGAAGCTGAAATGGTGCACATGTGCTCAGCTCTTACAAAAGAAGCGAATCTCACGCTCCGTTTGGTCCCAGCAAGCAGGTCGTGTGATGCACCGATCCGTCCACCCGCATATCATGCAAGGGATCCACTGAGCGATAGGAAGCTCGGCGTCCTCATTCAGGATGAGTGATGCAGGGGTTTTCCATTGCAGAAGAGAAGAGCAAAAGATACGGAGCTAAGAAAGATGCCCTGTAGGTATCAATGATCTCTATTAACAGTATCTTATCTTTGTCAATTGTGAGCGCAAGCCTCTTTCAGGACGGTGGAATTGGAGTTTGTGAGTGAGGAGGAGTAAGTGCAGTACTGTATGTGACGGGAGCATTGTAAGGCTCAATGTGGCATTGAGTACAAGGTCAAGCACTAAGCAGGGCTGAAACTGAATTCTCCATCTTTCACCGTTGCCGTCTTTGTGAGTTCATCTACTAAGATCTTGTGTTGTATTGCGTGCACTGGATAATTGTAAATGTTTGGTACCTGCCATACGGTCCACGAGCACCCCCCAGGAACAGGAACAGCCCATGTACCATAGGAGGGAGGACTGCATTCAATGTGTTTGTTTGTTTCTCTGTGGTGGCACGAAATCTGTCCCCTTTGGCGGTGGCAGTACACATAACCAACCAGCCCGTGCAGCACTCGACGGAGGGCGAATGAGTAATTGCCCGATCGATCTGAAGATTTCAGTTGAGCCGCGTCATGTCGGTCGGTGGTTGTCGTCCTCTCTTCCCTTCTATCCTATTCCTTTGTGGTTGCAACACCACCACAATCATCACCAAGCAACAGTAATTATTAACTTCTTCTTCCTCCGAGCTCGTCCGGTGTGATTTCTAAGGCCATCCCAGCACTCAATTGATCGAGAATTGAATCCATCTACTTCCCCTCTTTTTTTTCGTTGTGAAAGTCGCCCTAAATTCCTGAGCGATGGAGGGTGAGCAGTCTAGCGAAGAATCCAAGGCGGATGATGACGATAAGTCGGAGCATAAGAAGGTCATGCGTGATTCGTATGATGTAGAATCAAACGCAAAGTCCGGACGAAAAGTCTTAGCTTTTCTCTGAATGTGAGGTGTCGTATTTTTATGAGAGGTCAACATCTTTTGTTGACCGCCGTCGCCGCGTTTCGAATGGCACTCCCTGTTTCCCATTTACAAGAGGTGAGTGGGCGGACGAACCTTGTGACATGAAATGTTTCCTCGATATCATGGCCCTTTATTTTATGCCTTGGGGACGTGTGTAGCTACGTATAACGCTACCATAGTTGCAATTGAGCTCTGATTTCGAGGCGGCGGATGTTCGTGTCGGAAGCCTTATCTACACCTACCCCGCTCTCTCTATTCTCAGCGCGTGTTCAGCCTGCCACATAGCCCCTCTCATGTTTGTTGTTGACTTGAAATCTTACTCCTGTCTGGCAATTGCTGGCTCGCTTCCTGACGTTTCAATTGAGGTTTATTTGCAATTGAGTTTTATGCATGGGGTGGTAGCCTTGCTGCTGTGACCTGTCCACGTCTATAGCCATTCAGTTCTGCCTTGATTCTCCCGCCGTAGTGTATCGCCGTATAAAGACAACAACAACACGGTCTGACGAATACTCACTGATTTGGCATGTGCTTCTTGGAGGGGGGTGGGGGGGGATGTGGTAGTAGTAGATGCCAGTAGAGTGGTGGGATAGTAGGTAGCATGTACGTGTAGCATCATACTTTGAGTACCAGAGACAGACCGGGAGAGAGGGGTCTGAATCTTGGGACCCAGTCAGTCCCTTGCTTGAATTGCTCACACCGATACCGGCCCTGCAGGAATATGTAAATCCATTCAAGCAAGATTCCCTGCAAGAAGTAGAAGCCTTCGTGGGGATGCACTCGCTAGTCACCTGTCATAAGCCAGTGGAGTCTCTCCAAGTGACTCTTATTACTCTGTTCGCGTGCGCGACGGCCGCTAAGCCCCAGGCTAGACCAGGTACGGGAATAGAAGCCTCAACTAGGCTGTCATCCTACCAGTCATCCGCCTTAACTCTGTTTCCCCCTCCTCCTCCTCCTCATCTTGATGGTTTTGTATCTTTAACAGACGGAGCTTTACGGGGATTCACAATGATCTGAGGTGGGGGATGGAAGGATGGACGGGTGATGGGGGGGATTCCCTCCTCAATTGAACTGGCATCCACTACTTCGACTACCAACAATAGCCCATAACTCCCCCTCTTCTACTATCCCCACCCCTGCTTCTATTATCTCGAACTTTCCTGTTGCCATCTCACGCGCTCTGGTTTGCGCACTTACTAGAGAATAGAGACGGGACCTGCCCTGTACAATGGCTCACCACTCACATCACAAACACACCCCTCTTCCGCTTGCTCGTTCACAGAGAAAGAGAGAAGTGACCGGGAATCTAGTTAATTAATACACAGTAGCATCAGAGCTGCTGGCATTGTAATGCTGTGGATGACTGGCTGTACTGTAAAGTACATAATAACACGGCTGCTGCCTTCCTTACGTACCTGACAGGCTGGAACCCAGATTATAATTTCGATCGTCTTCGGTACTGTTCGCACATAGTATGTCAAGGAGGTGTGGCGATTGAATTGAATTTGTCCTGTTTCCAAATACAATGTCCAGTCACCGCTCACATATTTTATTATT